GCTGCTCGTCGTGGCGTTGGAGGTCTTGTGCGCTTGTAATAAGAGCTATATTCCCACAGCGTGTAGCCTGCGGCAGCCAGCGCTCCGTAGCACTAGAGGTCTTTTGCCTTTGCAATATGAGCTATATTGCCATAGCGTGTATCTTACGGTTCGACGCCGCGCCCGGGCGCCCGCGCATTCCGTGCTCCTCATCGTGGCTTTAGAGGTCTTGTGCCTTTGCAATACAGTCTATACTTCCACAGCGTGCCATTACAATACGGCCCATATTCCTACAGCGTGTAGCTTACTGCCAGACGCTGCGTCCGTGCACTCATTAGGGACATAAGAGGTCTTGTGGCGTTGTAATATGAGCTATATTCCAACAGCGTGTAGCCTGCGGCAGCCAGCGCTCCGTAGCACTAGAGGTCTTTTGCCTTTGCAATATGAGCTATATTGCCATAGCGTGTATCTTACGGTTCGACGCCGCGCTCGGGCGCCCGCGCATTCGGTGCTCTTCATCGTGGCGTTAAAGGTCTTATGGCGTTGTAATATGAGCTATATTCCCATCGCAAGAAGCTTGCGACAGGCAGCGCTCCTCTTTGAGGCACTAGAGGTCTTGTGCGCTTGCAATACGGCTCATATTCCAACAGCAAGAAGGTTACTGCAGGGCCAGTAAACCGTCTGCTGCCCGGCGCCGCGCCCGCGGACTCCGTGCTGCTCATCGTGGCGTTGGAGGTCTTGTGCACTTGTAATAAGAGCTATATTCCAACAGCAAGAAGCCGGCGACAGCCAGCGCTCCGTAGCACTAGAGGTCTTGTGCCCTTACAATACGGCTCATATTCCAACAGCAAGAAGCTTACTGCGGAGCCAGTACAACGCCTGCTGCCCGGCGCCGCGCCCGCGCACTCCGTGCTGCTCATCGTGGCGTTGGAGGTCTTGTGCAGTTGTAATACAGTGTATATTCCAACAGCGAGAAGCCTGCGACAGCCAGCGCTCCTCTTTGAGGCACTAGAGGTCTTGCGTCCTTGCAATACGGCTTATATTCCCACAGCGTGTCATTGCAATACGGCCCATATTCCTACAGCGTGTAGCTTACTGCCAGATACTGCGCTCGCGTACTCCTCATCGTGCCATTAGGGGTCATGTGCGCTTGCAATACGGTCCATATTACCGTAGCGTGTATCTTACGGTTCGACGCCGCACCGGGCGCCCGCGCATTCGGTGCTCCTCATCGTGGCTTTAGAGGTCTTGTGCCCTTGCAATACGGTCTACAATCCTTCAGCCTGTAGCTTACGGCAGCCAGTGCTCCACATCATAGCATTAGAGGTCTTGTGCGCTTGCAATACGGTGTACAGTTTCTTAAGCAGTGGTTAATCTTTTATTGTTTCACTGTATGTTTTCCAAACAAAATAAAATAAAAATAATATTCCTACAGCGAGAAACTTAATGCAAGGCCGGCGCACTCCGTGCTGCTCATCGTGGCAAAACACAAACAGAATTCAGCGCACCTCACCGCTAATCCACGCTAAATTAGTCAGTGTATGCGTGCGCGCCGCATACGTATTGGCGCGCTCACATACAAACCGCGCTCGGGCGTTGTTATTAGACACAATCATATCAGATCACAGTGCCACTGTGTTCCAACTAGTGCCGTGATTGCAGCACGTGATCCTGTTCATTAGTGCTACTGTTGAGATTTACTGTCGCGTCTATTAGATACGACTTCTTTAGATTCTTATCCCGCATTGACCGTTCGATTGTGTTCCAACTATTGCTGTCGCGACTGAGCGACGGGCGCCCGCAGTGAGTGTGCGAGCGCGACAGCAACATAATTACACGCGAGCGATAAGGATGGGTAGCTTGGGGTCATTGGACAAAATTCTACGTGCTCACGGACCAGGCTTTAGTGACGTTCCTTGCAGCATGTGATCCTGGTGATCATTGACGTAGCGCAATTCTCTCAGGCTTTTGTCAGGCAGCCTACCGCTTGATATCATCGTTATATCGTATTGACATCCATTAAAGCACGTGATCCTGGTGACAGTGCTACCTTTTAGAGGATTTTGTCGCGTCTATTAGACACTTCTTTAGATTCTTATCTCGCACTTGACCGTTCGATTGTGTTCCAACTATTGCTGTCGCGACTGTGCGACGGGCGCCCGCAGTGAGTGTGCGAGCGCGACAGCAACATAATTACACGCGAGCGATAAGGATGGGTAGCTTGGGGTCATTGGACAAAATTCTACGTAGCGCAATGTCAATGACATCTCTCAGGCTTTTGTCAGGCAGTCCCCACAGTGACATTATATTCCAACTAGTGATGTCCATTGCAGCACGTGATCCTGGTGGTGGTGCTGGCGCTGCGCATGGCCATCCCGGAGATCCCGGCGTGGCTGGCCACCGAGATGGCCAAGGTCGAGTTCCAGAGAAGGGAGGCCATTAAGAACGCGCACGCGCCGCTGTTGTTCACTGTTCCATTGTGTTCCATAGCACGACAGATTAAAAAGCTTAAGTAGCAATAAGCAGGAAACTGACGGCCGATGAGGCAGCAAGGTTCTGGAGAAGGCCATGAAGCGTCAAGCGCAGCGTAGGACGTCCACCCACAAGATGGACAGACGACCTTATAAAGGTAGCAGGAAGGCGCTGCATGTGGAATGCTACCAACCGGTCAATCTGACATAATGTCACGTGATAGAGCATACAAGATTGAAGCTTATCTGAAGTCTCGCTGACGTATGACGTCACAAAAACACCCTCCCGAGTCGTTCCCATACCTCAGACAATGGCCCAGTTATGCGCTACAACACCTCTAATAGCTAGATCTATAGTATGGTCTGTGAACACGTAGAATTTTGTCCAACGACCCCAAGCCACCCATCCTTATCGCTCGCGCGTAATTATATTGCTGTCGCGACTGTGCGACGGGCGCCCGCAGTGAGTGTGCGAGCGCAACAGCAACATAATTACGCGCGAGCGATAAGGATGGGTAGCTTGGGGTCATTGGACAAAATTCAACGTGCTCACGGACCAGGCTTTAATGACGTTCCTTGCAGCATGTGATCCTGGTGATCATTGACGCAGCGCAATGTCAATGACATCTCTTAGGCTTTTATCAGGCAGTCGTCTCTCTTGATTTGACAGTGACATTATGTCCCAAATAGTGATGTTCCTTTCAGCACGTGATCCTGGTGGTGGTGCTGGCGCTGCGCATGGCCATCCCGGAGATCCCGGCGTGGCTGGCCACCGAGATGGCCAAGGTCGAGTTCCAGAGAAGGGAGGCCATTAAGAACGCGCACGCGCCGCTTTTGTTGACTGTTTCATTGAATTCCAGCTAGTGACGTCTATTAGAGCACGTTTACCTGATGACAGTGTTATTGTTACGCTTTTTTCGCCATTATAGCCTCGTATCCACTCGAGTAGGCTCATTCTGCCTCAAGATGTCACGATGGCAGAGGGTCGAAGCACGTGGCGGATCAAAAATCTGGCTTGGTCCGCCGTGGCGACGTAATATCCTTCGCGGCGAGTTGTGCCTCAAGATGAGGCAACGTCACTATTTGAGCAGACGTGGCTCGAGACTGCCTGCCTCTAATGCAGAGCTATTAGAGACAATCAAATCTCGCTTGATTTGACTGTTTTGATTAATACTACTGTTAAGATTTACTGTCGCGTCTATTAGACACTTCTTTAGATTCTTATCTCGCACTTGACCGTTCGATTGTGTTCCAACTAGTGGCGTGGTTGCAGCACGTGATCCTGGTGGTGGTGCTGGCGCTGCGCATGGCCATCCCGGAGATCCCGGCGTGGCTGGCCACCGAGATGGCCAAGGTCGAGTTCCAGAGAAGGGAGGCCATTAAGAACGCGCACGCGCCGTTATTGTTGACTGTTCCATTGTGTTCCATAGCACGACGGATTAATAAGCTTAATTAGCAATAAGCAGGAAACTGACGTCCGATGAGGCAGCGTAGGACGTCCACCCACAAGGTGGACAGACGACCTTATAAAGGTAGCAGGAAGGCGCTACATGCGGAATGCTACCAACCGGTCAATCTAACATAATATGACGTGACAGAGCATACAAGGCTGAAGCACATCTGAAGTCTCCCTGACGTAAGACGTCACAAAAACACCCGTGTCGCTCCCATACCTCAGACACAGGCCCAGTTATGCGCTACAACACCTCTAATAGCTAGATCTATAGTATGGTCTGTGAGCACGTAGAATTTTGTCCAATGACCCCAAGCTACCCATCCTTATCGCTCGCGCGTAATTATATTGCTGTCGCGACTGAGCGACGGGCGTCCGCAGTGAGTGTGCGAGCGCGACAGCAACACGGACCAGGCTTTAGTGACGTTCCTTGCAGCATGTGATCCTGGTGATCATCGTAGCGCAATGTCAATGACATCTCTCAGGCTTTTGTCAGGCAGTCCCCACAGTGACATTATGTTCCAAATAGTGATGTCCTTGCAGCACGTGATCCTGGTGATCATCGTAGCGCGATGGCAATGACATCTCTAAGGTTTTTGTCAGGCAGTCTCCACAGGGACGTTATGTTCCAACTAGTGACGTTATTACAGCATGTGATCCTGGTGATCATCGTAGCGCGATGTCAATGACATCTCTCAGGCTTTTGTCAGGCAGTCTTCACAGTGACATTATGTTCCAAATAGTGATGTCCTTGCAGCACGTGATCCTGGTGATCATTGACGTAGCGCAATGTCAATGACATCTCTCAGGCTTTTGTCAGGCAGTCTTCACAGTGACATTGTGTTCCAAATAGTGATGTCCATTGCAGCACGTGATCCTGGTGATCATCGTAGCGCGATGGCAATGACATCTCTCAGGCTTTTGTCAGGCAGTGTTCACAGTGACATTGTGTTCCAACTAGTGGCGTGATTGCAGCACGTGATCCTGGTGATCATTGACGCAGCGCAATGTCAACGACATCTCTTAGGCTTTTATCAGGCAGTCGTCTCTCTTGATTTGACAGTGACATTATGTTCCAACTAGTGATGTCCTTGCAGCACGTGATCCTGGTGGTGGTGCTGGCGCTGCGCATGGCCATCCCGGAGATCCCGGCGTGGCTGGCCACCGAGATGGCCAAGGTCGAGTTCCAGAGAAGGGAGGCCATTAAGAATGCCCACGCGCCGCTGTTGGTAAGTTGCTGTTCTACACTAATATTAAAATAGGAAAGATTTAATTGTTTGTAATGAATAAACTCCGAATAAACTGGCCTTATTTGAAAATATCTTTCACATTTAGACTAGGCGCAGGCTAGCGATTTTTAGTTGGCCGATAGTTGTGCCCGATTTTAAATTGTATGAAGAATCAGCCAAATCGAATCGGCGTAATGTGCGCACTTCCATGCCCATACTGATCAACTGCCCGACTAAACTATCGGCCGACGAAAAATCAATGGTCTGCGCGTAGGCTTAGAATCTTACATTTTTTCTGATGAAAATTAGCGGTACAAAGTTAGCCGAGTCAGCTAGTACTTATTTAATTCTATGAGAACTTGTTCAGACACGCATAATAACCGCGTGGTTTCTGTTTGTTGACTTTTCATTTCTGATTTCATTATTAACATACGTAAGTAGTTGTCGTTAAAAGAATTTAAATGTTTAAATTTTGTACATTTTATCAACAAACCAAAATTTTGAACAGTACCATATTTTGATTTTAATATTTAAAACCAACTGAAATCCAAATGAGAATTAGCTGGCCAAAATGCTGTCTAGTTATTATTTGAAATAGGTCTTTACTTATAATTTCATTTTATTTTGCATTTTTCTCAGTAACGACAACTCAAATTTTATAAAACTGTCTGTGTAGATTGAACACTTTAATACACTTGTATCTGAGTTAGTAACGTATTGCTTCCGCAGTCGGAGTGCGCGAGTTCAGATGACGTGCGAACGCCGGCACGCAGCACGCCACGTGCTACGCCCACCACGCCACGGGTCGCGCGCGCGCCGCCGCACGCGGAACACAGGTCCGTATTACATTGGAGATAGAGCTTAGAATCGCTTGCAGTACTCTCCGATTCTACGGATACAGAGCAGAATTGGGCCACTTGACACTTTTCCCGTGGATGCTTGAAGGTACTAAAGGACAAATATGACAACCACGTCGCGCGCGAATCGCCGCGTACAGAACACAGGTCCTTATTACGTTAGAAGTAGAGCTCAGAATAGCTTGCAGTACTCTGCAATTCTACGTATACAGAGTAGAATTGGACCACCCTCATTCTTGCAGTGGATGTCGTGATGCTACTAAGAGAAATATGACGCGCGTCGCGCGCTTGCCGCCATACGGAACACAGGTCCGTATTGCGTCATAAATAGAGCTCAGAGTGGGTTGCAGTACTCTGCGATTCTACAGAATGAGACCACCCCCACTTGCGAGTTTAGAGCCGCTTACAGAGTAGAACAGGAACACCGGGTATTCTTACCACGGATGTCGTGATAGGCGACTAAGGGGCATATTATATGTAGCTGGGCAAGGATGCACGCCACGATAAAATCTCATCGAGGTATTTATCAAACATTAATCGTTTAAAATCAATATAATACCACGATACAATTTCATAGTGGCGCATCTTAGGCCAGCGTAAATAGTGTGAACCAAATCATTTGCAGAGGGCCTGCTCTGCAGTGGAGCCTAATTGACCTGATTATAATAGTAAAAGGCATGGTCGCAAGTAGAAATTACAGCTAAACTATGTTAAAAGAAAAGTAAGCCAATTATACATTTTTACAGCTCTGGCCCGACGACAGATCGTCCGAAATCGCCTATGGCTCCTGGCAACAAAATCAACATTGGAAAAATACCAGAAATTCCGCCTTTCAGGTCAGTCGGTCTTTATAGCGCAATTTGTTAACCCTTAACTCGATTGATTACACAAAAATAATCAAGCCTAGAATAGCAAAAGCACTAGATCGCCACAATATTCCAAATTAACAATTTTTAGCAAACTTATTGGCAAACCTTCGTATAAAAAGTGATTTACAAATCGCCTAGTAAAATTTCTTTTTTTACTAGAGTTTGAAGAACACTATAATAATTGGATTTTAAAACAAAAATTGTCAACAGATTAAAAAATCGAGGGACTGGAGTGGTGACACCTATGAGGTTAACACCATCACTAATATTTAGTACTCCCCTTTAAATGTCCCCAATATTTCTTAGGCGCATGATTTTCAGGTTTTACATAGATCTGTTGAAATTTTGAGAACCAATTTTGCCTGAATACTAGAGTGTATTTATAGATTGGATAGATTTGTCAGTTATAATTTTAAAGCATGAGAAATGATAGGATGTTATGGTTCATTATGTTGAAGATTTAGCAAAAAACTGTGAATGAAATATGAATACTAGATGGCGCTGTATACTCATAGTTAACTGTCAAAATGAATATTTTGAAAAATAGTTGCTCAAGTAATAATGAACTTAACCGGATTTAATTAAGGAAACAAATCATTAAATCTAAACGTTAGAAAAATCCCTATCTAGAGAGTAGAGACCCGAATAGATTTGCTCTTAAAATGAGGGTTTTCGCGAATGAAAGATCCGCTAGATGGCGGGACGTGGATGTGGGGTCTGACTGCTGCGTGATTGGTGGATTTTGACATATCTGTCAATGTCATGTCAAAAATAACCAGGCATGCAGCATTTGGACCTCGCGTCTACGTATTGCCATCTGGCGGATTTTTCATACGCGAAAACCCTCATTGGCCTGATTGGCTCATGAATATTTTCATCGTGTTAATATACCTTTAATAGCGCCATCTAGTAATATTTGAAATCTACGCCCTATTTGTATTTATGCATAAAAATTAAAAATCATACATCATAGAATTATGTGTGCATGCATGATAGCTGAAATCATGCACGGTGAACGGTAGTTAACGCGCCATGTGCCAAGACAAATGCAACCCTGTTACCATACATGAAAGTCCAGTTTTTAATTCGAGCCAGTGAATACAATTTCAGCTGTCTCTTTCTATTGGCAGAAATGTTATTTTGGAAATATGCTTTGGTAATCTGTGGAGACTAGTTCGAATAACATTTTACTGACTTGAATCAAAAACTATAGTGCTGCCTACACATGTTTCTCAAACTGTATTCCTAATATTGATCCGTGATCTATTTTTAGAAAGAAATTAAAGCCATGTATTATCAAAAAAATCAAAATCAAAATCAAAAATATTTATTCAGTTTAGACCACAAGTGGCACTTATGAACGTCAATAGAAAATAATAAAAAAGAAAAGGTAGCCCTTATGGGGCACTTTACATGTCTCCTTATCTTTTGGGCCCTACCAGCGCTTCGTACGCTGTGGACGGCCAAGTTTCAGAAACCTGTGTTTATGGTAAACTTGTTTCACACTAGTCATAAACAGTTTATCAACAAATGTTGCCTAATGAATACATGGCTTTAAACTCCGTAAGAAATATTTAATTTTATTAATTACAGTTTGAGAAACCATGTGAATGTCGTAGTCGAAAATGGCATAGATTTTAATTTGGTTAAATTCTTTTGTTTTCAGTTAATTTGGCACAAGTATTGCCTGGATGGGTGTGTAGATTTGAGTTCGTTAAATAAATATTTAATTAACTCAATATTTTTACTTAATATCTTGAAGTAATAACGATGTTGTGCTTGCTTTAATTTATTTTTGTTTGTTTTGTGATTGTTTTTTGCAATTTATTATTTGTAGATGTGTTTTATTTAATATTTGTTTTTGTTAATATCTGCTATCAAGATAATTCCTTTAATAAATCTTTGTTAATATTTTAATTAAAGAATTTTCTATGAAACTAGTTATTTGTTATTGAAAAAAACCCCTATGTTCGAAAAACAATAGAACATCGAAGCCAAGGTAATTTTATTTTATTTCTTATTTATCTTTTTCACTCTCTGTTTCTTCTTATTTTTATTCTACTTTATAAACAAGAAGTTGTATAATAAACTTCTCTTTCTCACGACATAGCCTCTTTTTTGTGTCTCATATTATTTTAAACCTAGTGTGTAATCTTACGAGTAGGTATGACGAGAGATGGTAATTTTTTTTTATTCATTCAGTAAGCAAAAGTACCTTTCTTTGTTAAAAGGGAAAGGAAAAAAGACAGACTGCTTAATGAATTACCAAACAGATCATAATGATGCTTTTGTACGAGTATTCAGACAGAAAGAGAGTTTTTTTATTAGAAAATAATATAACAGCTTGTTTATAAAACCCTTCTCTTATTTATACGCCTATTCTATCCACACATCGTTTTTACTACCGCACAGTACTGTAAATAGTGGCTTCTCTATCATTCTTCAGCGTGGCACGTGACGTCATTTCGTGGTGATAACTTGAGGGTGTCTTTCAGGCCTAAAGCGGCGTCCATAACGGAACCGGTCACAACTGGGTCTTTGCAAATGCTGCAGGATGTTAGCCCTACTAAGCCTATACGACGCAAGGTAAGTCTAGGAATTTATTCTATATTTTTGTCCAGTGATCTTTTTATTGTTTTTGGTCCATTGAGCAAACGGGTGTCCCATACAGTTGCCTAAACGCAGTCTCCATTCAAGAGTCTACCTTTCTATTAGTTTTGCGACAGACTGCCACCGGCCGGTCCTTGTGGAAATCCTTGGGGGAGGCCTTTGTCCAGCGGTGGATGTTCTGTGGATGAAATGTTGATGACGATGAAATGGAGACGACCCTCTTCTGCAGGAGGCAAATGAATCTAGAATACTAAATACAGATCTTGGATGACGAATATCGTATCTAGTCCGTAAACTACCATAAAAATTATATGACTACTCCGAACCGTAATTCCATGGATTCGGACCAGACGTAGCAAGAAACCGCTGATGAAGGAATGATGTTATGTTGTTAAAATACAAGGTAGTACCTGGTGCTTCGCTGCCCTTGCGTGGCGTGCAAAGGCGTTTAGACTGTCCCTGAATGTTGGACTGAGATTAGAATTGTTTTGACCTGATGGTTTTGATTGTCATTAAAGGAGGTGGTACCGGGTGCTCCGCTATCGCTCCTCGGAGTGAGAGGCCTCCGGGACGAGCCGCTGCACCGCTCGGCGCACTGCATCCCGCACCCCGCACAGCACCGCCCGCTGGTCAACCCCACGCTGCAGGTGAGGGGTTGATGTTACTATAGGGGTGAGGGGTTGATGTTACTATAGGAGGTGGTACCGGGTGCTCCGCTATCCCTGCTTGGTGTGAGACCGCCCGCTGGTCAACCCCACGCTGCACGTGAGGGGTTGATGTTACTATAGGGGTGAGGGGTTGATGTTACTATAGGAGGTGGTACCGGGTGCTCCGCTATCCCTGCTTGGTGTGAGACCGCCCGCTGGTCAACCCCACGCTGCAGGTGAGGGGTTGATCTACTATAGGAGGTGGTACCGGGTGCTCCGCTATCGCTCCTCGGAGTGAGAGGCCTCCGCGACGAGCCACTGCACCGCTCGGCGCACTGCATCCCGCACCCCGCACAGCACCGCCCGCTGGTCAACCCCACGCTGCAGGTAGGATAGTGTTGCCAGACTTGAGTGAAAACCTCCTTAAAACAAGTTAATAATAATTATAATAATAATAAATTATTTATTTTCTCCCATACAAAACAAGCTTAATACTAACATTAATAAATACTTAAGTATATTTATACATAGATATGCTATAATGTTGTATATGGGAGACTGGTACCCAAACTAGGAAAGACCTGTGTCTTGGGCTACCAGGCTTCATCCCTACCAAGTAACAAAGAAAGAAATATGTATACCTACATTAGCAAGTCTGCGATATAATGCGTGCCTAAAACAAAATAAAAATTTCAAAAAAATGTCCATTAGAAATTTCACACAGTGATATTGTGTTAGTGTGATATTGTGTGTGAGTGTGATATTAAATGTGAGTGTGAAATTGTGTGTGAGTGTATAATTATTATGTGCGAGTGTATTTGTTGAGTATGAATGATTCATTTATTTAGCAATTAATTTCTCCGTCTCCAAATAATCCAACGACTGTAGCCAATCTTGGACAATTTTTTTACAGTGGAATTTCGTTTTTGAATAAATATTCAAATACATATTGGCCTTATTGTACTGCCTTCCTCCTTGATAAGTAAAAGACCTTCTGAATAAATTAGTCCTGCCCTTCGCTGGATCACATACCATGTAATGTCTCCTAGTATTAGCACGTACATGATCCTCGTCGTAATGTAGAAGACCATGTTGTTTCATTATAGTGGCTAGTAAGTAGGCTTGTCGCACTGTTAGGACATTACATTCCTTGTACAGCTCCTTTGTTGGGTATAATCGGGGTTTGTTATGGCTGACCTTGAGTATTAGCCTTTGGGCTCTCTCTAGAGTAATCAAGTGCGACTTAGCTGCACATCCCCACACCGTAATACCATACGAAACGATCGAGTGACAGAGCGCCAAGTAAATGTTTCTCATAAGATTTTTGTCGACAGTTTGTCTTAATTGTTTAAAAATATATGTTAGCTTCCTAACCTTCTGAGAAACACCCACAATATGCGGTTCGAATGTCAATCTGTCATCGACAATGACACCAAGGTACCTAATAGTGTCAGTTCTAGCTAAAGTAGGACAAGCACATGCTGTGAGTGGCGGAAACGCGCAAGAATGAGCCACAATCTTGCCATCACAATCAGGGGGATGTCCCCCAACAGAGAAAGGCATAAATTTGGTTTTAGCAGCGTTAAGAGTCAGATGATTTGCTGCAAGCCAGTGACATATCCTGTTGAAACCACGTTGTGCTGCATCGAAAACTTCCTGCCAGGATTTCCCAAAGAAAGTGAGCGCAGTATCGTCTGCATAAGAAGTGATCTTGCAGTTCGATATATTAAGGCCACTTAACTCATTTATGTAAGTCAAAAACAGAGTAGGCCCCAATATACTGCCCTGCGGGACGCCACAAACAATAGGTTTCTCTGAGCTCAGGCAGTCTCCTATTCTTACGCACTGGTTGCGATTGAGAAGATAGTCCTTGAGAAGATGTAATTGAGCTCCTCGAACCCCAAAACCAGTCTCTAGCATCTCCAGAAGCTTAGGAAACGAGACTGTGTCAAACGCCTTGGCCAAATCAATAAAAATTGTCAAGCATTTCAACTTTTTGTCTAGTTTATCTACAATGAAATCAGTCAAATCATGAATGGCATCACTTGTCGATTTACCCGACCTAAAACCGTACTGCGAGGCCGACAAAAGATTATTGTGTTCAAGAAATCGAGTCAAGCGTTTGTTAATGATTTTTCCAAAATTTTTGACAGTACCGGAAGGATAGAAATTGGACGGTAATTATTGACACAATCTCGCTCCCCGCCCTTATGAATAGGGATCACTATGGATTTCTTCAAGGCAGTCGGAAACACACCCTCCAAAAAGCAACGGTTGAATAAATTGGTCAGCACAGGGACCAAAACAGATCTAACGCACCTTATAACCCCAGACGTCAGGCCATCCCAGCCCGGAGAGCAATCAGATTTCAGTGCCAATATTATACTCTCAACTTCGCTCAAAGTCGTTTCGTACAGGGCAAAGGAGTTTTTAGGACCTGCAGAACATGAAGGTAGAGGAGTTATGTTTTTAGGCATTTTATTATACAGTTCTGATCCAATAGTTGCAAAAAAGGTATTGATATTATTCAACGTTTGAAGATTGTTCTCACTGTTAGCCAGCAGTTCATCGTTTGAATGAGTCTTATTACGTAGATTAGCAATATTCTTAATAGTATTCCATAGTAGTTTATTGTTACCTTTAGCTGAATTAAAACAAGCTACAAAGAACTGTGGTTTTCTGAACAAAGAAAAATAAAATAAAAATAAACCTGAGGAAAGAATATGTGGGCTCCTCGATCCTGGAGAGACTCGAGGGGCCTCTGTGGTCTAGTGTTAAGACCACGTGCTTCAGACGCAGAGGTCCCGGGTTCGATTCCCAGTGGGGGCAGATTTTTCTGTTCAGTTTGGTTGGTGGTAGGGCTTGTTCTAGCTACCACCATCTTACCTAAGTCTGTCGCCATAACAACAATATTAACAGCATTGTTGTGTTCCAGCAGTTAGAGGTAAGATAGCCAGTTCCTCCGTGGTTGAGGATTCCGAGTAAAGCTCGCTTTCACCTTGGGCCTGATCATCACTTACCATCAGGTGAGATATAGGCCAAGAGCTTCCTCGTAGTGGATAAAAAAAATCTATAGCCTGAGGAGATGCTGATGAGTTAGAACAATAACTTGCTGCTTCGTCCTATTTTTCTCCTGGGGATACCATCGGGTTTTAATATGTAGGCCCTGCCCTTCTAGCTGGGAGAGTCCCACATTAACCAAGCATTACTCCTGACTGAAAAGAAGAAAAGTTGTCAAACTTGGTTACAAAAATTCGGAGACAAGAACATAACCCTCCTTCCAGGACAAAGGGGTAAATTCAAGATTACATTTAACCCCTAACCAAGCTCAGGAAAAATATTTTCATTTATTTTCAACCGTATCTTCACTGTATAAAGTTCAAATTAATGTGGGATCTATTCCACCACTGCCTGGTCACTCACCAGAGCTTGTTATTTTTGTTAGAATCTGTTTTTTAAATGGTTAACTACTAAAGTACTAAAATAGAAATAATGTATGGTATGTATTCTTTACAATAACATGACAAATGTCAATTACAGGAGCTGTCAGGCAGCGTGAGCGCGGGTGGTTCTGAGCCGGACTTGAACGCGGTACCTTCCACAATCGACATCAGTGCTACTTCCAGTGAGGACGACAAGCCTAAGGATAAAGGAAGTGAGTTTTTATTTTGATAACACTTATGAAAAAGGAGCCTCCAGCTAAGATTAATAAGATTTGGTCCGTAGCCATCGATAAGAATCGAAAATAGCTGAGAATGCGTTTCATGCAGGCCGCTACCATCAAGGCAAAAATATGGAAATCAATGGGGGAAGCTTATTCCCACGTTCATTCCCATGAACAGCCTCAGGAGCCCTCTCCTGAAGCTGAAATGATGATGATGACGAATCGAACAGGCAACCCTCTAATCGGCAATCCGATCACGACACTGTTGAGCTATATTGTCAAAGGTGGCCGCGAGGTTCCGGTAGAATCGAACCACTCTCTTCTGTCATAAGAAAATTGGTCTCGATCACCTCCGGCCACTGGACTACTGTTAAGTAGTGAACTCATTGCTAACAAGCACATTTTTCTTAATTCGATTCGTTCACTACAAAGTAATATTATTTGTAAAACACATATGAGGTGGAATTGTGTAAAGCAATCGTTATCATTTGACAGTTCATAACGTACGATTATTCTGTCAAACGCTTTGTTTAACTGACTTTATCGTACGATATGAACTGTCAAATGATTACGATTGCTTTACACAATTCCACCTCTGATTATTCTTTCCCAGGTCGGTCGCGCGCCAAAGCTGCACTAGTAAAGCGCGTGCGTTCAGTGGCAGTGTTCTCTCTTGGACTGCGTAAAGCGCGTGAAGCACATGCAGCAGCTGAAAGGCCCGCTCGCACGCCCGCTACGCCCGATAAGCAGGTACAGTGTGATATGAACCTTATTGAATTGTCATAAGGTAGTAAAATGCGTACACTTAGTGACAGTGTTCTCGTTTGGACTATGAAGCCCACGCTAAGGCTGAAAGGCCCGCTCGCACGCCCGATAAGCAGGTACAGTGTGATATAGAACCCTATTCGCTTGCCATAAGGTTAGTTGTACAGTGGCAGTGTTCTCCCTTGGACTGCGTAAGGCGCGTGAAGCACATGCAGCAGCTGAAAGGCCCGCTCGCACTCCCGCTACGACCGATAAGCAGGTACAATGTTATATGAACCTTATTGACTTGTCATAAGGTAGTAAAACGCGTACACTTAGTGACAGTGTTCTCGTTTGGACTATGAAGCCCACGCTGAACTGAAAGGCCCGCTCGCACGCCCGATAAGCAGGTACAGTGTGATATAGAACCCTATTCGCTTGCCATAAGGTTAGTTGTACAGTGGCAGTGTTCTCTCTCGGACTGCGTAAAGCGCATGAAGCCCACGCAACAACCAAGAGCTATGCCTGACAAGCAGGTACAGTGTGATATGAAAATTATTGACTATTTAAATGGCGTGGCGTAAAGCGCGTGCGCTCAGTGAAGATGCATGAATGTGGGCAAATTAAACAAAACAAGATTGCATTGAATTCTCTCAAAAGACACCTCATCTTATATCAATAATTCGTCACTCATTATTCGAATTCTTTCACATTTAACATGACACTGGCTAAAATACAAACTGTACAAAGCCATAGAGAAAAAGAAGATAGGATAATGTGAATCTAAGGCCCGCCAACCCGCCATACACGGACAGCTTGAGCAGTTAGTCAGTGATCAACATACAAGGACCACTCTTTTAGTCAAGAGTCAACAGCTCGAAGTTGCCAGTGATAACTGCTCGAGCAGTTGGTATTAACTGCTCAACAAATCACAAGCGCGCGCGCCGTGGAATGAAGAAAGTGGGCGGAGGTAACTGCGGAAAGCTGTCGACAGCTCGAGCAATCAGTGTATGGCTGGCGACTGCTTGACCGCACGATGAAAATTCACCGTGCTGTCGACCGCCCGAATCAGTTGCAACCGCTCGAGCGGTTCGTGTATGTGCGTCCATAGAACTCTGCAGTTCACTGTGCAGTCGCAGCTTGAAGCTGTCGACCCTGACTGCTTTAAGCGGTCCGTGTATTGTCGGCCTAAACTGCAATAAAACAAAATGTTCTTTTGTTCACAGGCCCCGCCCGCGCCGATGCTAGGCGGCGAACTGTCCCTCATTCCCATCGAGCAACTCATACAAGTGGAGGACGTCAAGCCACGCCCCACGTAAACTTTTATATGTATCTCTACCACAAACTACGTATGTATTAAAATTACCTAGTATGTTCTGTTATTCGAAGAAAATAATTTACTTCTTTCACGAAGGATAAACACTTTAATACAGCTGGAAATGGTAACCACGCCCCCCGTAAAATTTTGTATCTGTCTTCTACCACAGACTACGTATGTTATGATGCAGTCATATTAGAAGGAGCCAGCATATTAAAGAAAATAATTTACCTCTTTCTGATTGTTGACAACTGGATCGTATACGTGTTCGCTAACCCTTGAATTAAAATGTGTTTATTATTTAATGCTGGCAACGCCAGAATAAAATGTAGCATGTGGCAATTACTACACCACTGAAGGCAATTACTATACTGGTAAAACTGAAATAAAAATAGAACCGACGTCTATTTAAGGCATGGACTAATCTTAGATAGAGTAGATTGTAAAATGTACTAAACATTTTTTATTGTCGCTGTTGGTTGTATTTGTAGCTAAACGTAATGTACCAAAGAGTTTATCTATATTTGTTTAACTTAGGTAATAGCTTTTTTCTAGTTAATACGAAGAAGTTTTTAGAAATGAAAGAAAAGTTGAGAAGTTCTACTGTTGAAATTTGGGATTAACAATTTTTACAGTGTTGGTCCTACCAATGGTTTTTTGTGTTATTTTTTGTCAGCTATCGTTATGATAACAAATATTTGACAGTTCTATGTGATAAAGAATGAGAAGTATGTCATAATTCGGTTATGATGTGGCTTTTGAATATTTTCTACGATTTCGACGTGTTTTTTGAATGTTGAAGTTTTTCGTTTATCATCAAAATCGTTGTTATTTCAAGCTTGTCATTGAAGCAATCATCCGACAATAATTTCACTTTGTATTGATTTGCATATGTTTGGCCAGTTTGGGATGGCGTATGACCAGCTCCATCTGGCCAGACTGTAAATAAACTAGTAGGTAGTTAACTAATATCTTACCACTAGAGATGTGCTGATCCCGGGAATATTTTAGACACAGAAAACACTGTGCTATGCCTCAACTATTCAAACTTATTTCGCAGAGTGAGTTGGGTATTTTCTACATTTTACGTCACTGTCCACAGTTATTGTTTTTAAAGTTGTTAAAAAACAACGAATCAAATGTAAAATAAAGAGCATATTTTCAGCTTACTAAATGAACTACAAAGTTATTGAGGTGACGCAAAAATTGCTTAAGATTCAGTCAAACCATCAGCCGACGTGCAGCGATGGCGATCAATGCATTTAACACTCGTATTCACAAACGATTCCTGCTTAAGTGAAGCAGCAAATCGAACGCACAGCGTTGAATAGAGCTCTGCGATTGGTTAGTGTGTCACCCTGTGGGTCTACGCGCACTGCGATGAGACCTCATAGTAATGTTTGTGAATACGGGCGTAAGTCTGGTCGCCATCGCTGCACGCCGGCTGATCGCGTGTGATCGCGTTGGTTTGGCCGAACCTTTAGTCCTGAATATTCCCAGTCTATGGTAACATTCCCAGGAATATTCGCAACTCTAATAATGTTCCCGGTAACGACCTATCTCTATACCACTATCTTTCTTAACACGGCTAGATTTTCACTTTCCCTCATCTTATAGGCTAAGGTTCATCAGGTTACATGACATAACTATGTGTTCTTTTAGAAACACTCAATCAGAACTTGTAAAAGGAAATTAAAACAACTAAAAACATAACCCTCTTTCTGGCGCAGTCGGATAATAAGATGTGATTAACGATATCGCAAAATATGTATACAGGGTGTCCCAAAAAGTAGTGTCAGCCGAAGCCCAGAGGTTCGGGTTGCCCTAGTGATGCTCTACTTCTGGGTTTCGGCTTGACACTGCTTTTTGGGACACCCTGTATTTTCTATATCGCCGCCTCGGATCGTTTTCTAATATCACGTGACCCGTAAATTTAAAATGTTCGGCTTTATTTTTATGTCGACAGAAAAGTAGTCCGTTGAGTTTACATGTTTTCATGTGTGTATGTCGCATACACTGTGGAAATAACCTTGTATGACCAGAAAGGAGGTGATCTGGAGTTAAAATATTAAAAAAAAAACTTTTTGTATGGAAACCATACACGCAAAAAAACTTGTATGACCAGAAAGGAGGTGATCTTGTTAAAATGTTTAAAAAAACTTTGTATGGAACCCATACATACCCAAAATAAATTCGATTTCATAGCCACCAATTAGTGTCTTTCATTGATTTATAAAATGATGTCATGTAGCCTAATGATTATCATGATGTTACGAAATTTTAGAAGTGAAGACGTTAAAAATCCCACGAATATGTATAATACGGGAATTTTTAAAGTGAAACAATGCGTTCTCATTTCTAGAATATCGACATTAGAAATTGTTATACAATTAAAAAATAGTTTAGTAAAATATTGGCGCAAACCTATTCGCAAAGAGGCAGCTCCTATACTCAAAATAATGTACGTCGTTTTTAAACGTTGCCATCGCTTTAATAATTTCTTAAAAATGCTATATTTTCTGAATTCTGTTTATATTGCTCAATCGAATCTGTACTATACAAATTCAGTCAATTACTATACATAGTCTTAAATTGTTGCATAAAATGGTATTGAGGGCTCCAATTGGTAAATCAGTGAAGCAATAAGCATTTTCTTAATTATTATTGAGTTTGATTCTGATATACTAATTCAAACTAGAAAATATTAAAATCAAAACTTTTTTTAGCGTGGCCTGTTTATAGGTCGCGTAGCAAAAGTTGAATCGAAAACGGCACTCATACTAATTTATAAATTTTGAATACAGAACACACAACACATAATCGTTCAAATATCGAGTAGCACTAGCTCCCTCGATCTTGTTGAATGTGTGCAAGAGAGATAGAAAGCACTTTTCAGTTAGAAAGACATCAGCACGACTAGCGTATACAGTACAGATACAATAATATTTGCTTGTGTTAATCGTCTCAACTCGCGCTGCGCGACCTATAACACGATTACAAGTAAAACGTCATTAAATATTCGTACGTATGTATCAAAATCAAGCTCAATATTTATTTATACCTATTAAATTATTTTAAGTAAACGAAAAAGGGAACGAACAGAAAGTTGAATTAAATTATCAGTATTTGAATTTGTGAATAACGAACTATTTTTTTTACTTTTAGTGTGTATTTAATATTTGTAAGTTATTTCTTAGATTTAGTTATATTATTATTAGTCGTATTAATAGTTATTTGAGGGAACTCAATAGTTTGTGGATAAGCATATTATGACTTAGTTTTATTGTATTTGCCATTTATGTGTCTTTTAGTAGGTATAAACACTGAATTAGCCAACTTGTATAGCTATACTAAAGAATATTTTAACAATGTTATTCATAACATGACAAAAGGATGTTAATTTTTCAGTTGTGAGGAACAAAATATTTTTTATTTATGAGAATTTTGTTTCTCTGGTTAACTACAAAACAAGTATTCTGATCCTGAGAGAAATGTAATGTTATTAGTCTTTAAGCTAGTTTTAGTTTGAATCCAACATTTAGTATCCAGGTACCCGATAATACAGTTTTATTCCCCCTTTTTCTAAACAGTCACATAAGATGCTATAAGATCTTTGTAACAGTATACTTAGACACAAGAACATAGCAAAAGCACATTAATATTGTTCTTAACTTTTTATCTCAATTTTGATCTATGGTTTATAGATCTACTTTTTGGCTACTTTGGGTGTCATGAACTATTTATCGTTGACTATAACTACCAATAAAACCGATTTAACAAAATCTCTCTTCAAACTCAGCATCTTCTTCATATGTGATTGATCAGTTTTTTTAATTCGATATGATATGGCCATGATAATTATACCAAAACCGGTGTTGTTGTTTAACTATAGTTATTTATACGATAGGATACCCAGCTTAATAATTCGAGAGCAATAATTAAAATCGGTTTGTTATATAAATTATGTAACTGTCTTAGTGTTAAAATATTAGTTGCTATATCGTGATGTTATCTTCTGTAAATTATCTATTCTTTAGCCAAGGTTTTTACACTAAGAGAAAGGAAAACGGGCATGTGTTGAACTGGATATCCATAGATAGTACTAAATATACCCTAAAGCTGCTTTGAAAAATTTAATAACTAAATTCAGTAAAAAAAGCTGGCAAAGCGTCCGAAACTCTTTCGGTATTGTGGAATACAATAACCAGTTGATGCGTGCACTTTATCCCTTCTTATTACAAGTACAGTATGTAAAATACACCATACAAATACCTTATCCAAATGGGATGCTGTTATGAGACCAAACTCGAAATAGTAAACGACCGATCAGTTGTAACATCTTTGAGTATGATTAGATTAGAGATATCTTTGATTTTTTTTAGAGTAAATAAAGTTATATTTAAGAACAGAATCATCCCATTCGGATCGTTTCAGCCAGGATTTTTGCATACTGTTTTAAACAGGCCTTCTGCCATCTATGTAGAACATGATAATACAATTTTGGAGCTACTTACCTACATTCTCGACCCTATGATTCTTGGCTGTTGAACTAAAAACAAATGTTGTGTGATAAAAATTTGTATGGACGCTTCGTTCTAGCATTGTCGTAGCAGATCGAATATTTGTTGTTACGTACTTATTTTTTATACGAGGTATTGATGAACGTTGCATTTTGAGTAGATAATAAATTAAGTTCGCATATTTTTAAATTGTTTTATTTTGAAGAACGTTTCTAACTTTTTTGTTTTTTGTGCAGCCTCAATTCTTAGGAAGTGAAAAAATACAAATGATGTTTCTAACTATTTTTGGTCGCAAATAAAAAACAGGATAATATAAAAAACAGGATAATTTAAAATAAAGAATATATTTTTAAAACAAGTACACAGACTTTACAGACTGTTACGTATTGTGTAGTAAAGTATAAAAAACATTTCAAAAATAAAGATTTTACAATCTAAATATCAGCTTAACTATACTTAACATTAATCTGTTTGTATCCTCTCATCAATAGAAACGGGCACATTTAAAATATGCATTATTATACAAATCTCATAAAAAGGTTGAACTGTCTCAGAATCTTCAACATTAGGAACTTCTAAATCAAATAGGTTACTTGTATATCTTAAACAGAAGGCTAACCTAGTACAATATAAAACATACATAGCGACATAATATTTAATAAAGTTAACAATAATTTTGTGCAACTATGTGTAAAAAAAGTTATCAAACTACAAAATATCATCGTTTGTTTACTATACTTATCAACTACATAATTCAACAATTAACGATTAGATGTAGATTTTTGAAGGCACCGCAAAAGTGTTTTCATACACTTAAAATAAAGTTACTTGTACTGTAAATAAATATACATACAGGGTGGAAACGTTAAGTGATCTCACGCGATTATTTCTAAACTATACAAGATATCGAAAAACTGATTACTGATTCTGAAAGTGCTTCACAAGCTCTTTCAAACGGTACCAATAATAGGTTAAATAAGAAACTGGATCTGTCCGAAAATTCAATGTTTCCAGCTTCCATACATTTAGTAAAACCACAAAATATTAAAAACTGTACAAGATATTCAAAAACTGGTTACTGATCCTGAAAGTGCTTCACGAGCTCTATCCAACAATACCAATAATAGGTTACAAAATAAACTGGATCCATCCAAAAATTCAATGTTTCCAGCTTCCATACATTTAGTACAGCCACAGTCATGGCACTCAAGTCTTGATAAATTATAGCAAGTAAAGCCTAAAACCAATGTTTTCCATGAATAATTTTAAATAGGAATGAAATTTACGAGTTCCTTTTTAGTGTTTATTATTTAATAAAAAAATAATACTTCTAATATTGTTTGGCTGGCATACATTTCATATGGAGGCTGAAAACACTTAATTTTCGGATAGATCCAGTTAATTCTGTAACCTATTATTGGTACCGTTGGATAGAGCTCGTGAAGGACTTTCAAGATCAGTAACTAGTTTTCCGATATCTTGTATAGTTTAGAAATAATCGAATGAGATCACTTAACGTTTCCACCCTGTATAAAAATATAATACTGTTTGGAAAAAGTGGCTTATTCATATCGCCTTCTCTTACAATCATCGCTAAACTTTGAAGACATACAACATTGGATTTCAAGCTCAGGTTTTTCTTTAAGAGTTTTGTACACAGATTGATAAAAACTCAAATTGCATTTCGGGTCTAAAGGCAGTATTTCCAAGGCCAAGAGACTAGTTTCATTTGTATTCAATTCTAACAATCCGCGGGCAGTCAACACCAAAATATCATGGTCTGCCACCTCGACGCCATTTAAACGTAGATGCATTTGAATATTTCGGGCATTACTGTTAATATAAACAGCCAAATGACTTACAAAGTGCGCGAAATATTTCGCATTGTTTACGGCTTCTTTTACTAAATTACCAATTTGTCTCCCGAATTCTCCAGAAGCTTTTTCAACCATCTCCACTCCATTTGTGTCAGGGTTCACTTGAACTTCTTTGATCACTCGCCGTGTTGTTATAATGATTCGCAACTTCCATTGAAAACAATATATTTCGTGTAATGGCAAACTGGTCTCCAAAGTCGTTAAAATCGCTTCGAACACAGGCAAAGCATTTACAAATGACGTGGTATCCGAAAGGAGAGCACAAGTGTTTGGTATCGGTACAAATCTGGGCGTATCCAAATTATACACAAATTCTTTGAGCATCCGTCTGTACACGTAAATATCGCAGGCAACGTCATTCCAACGTTTCAATATTTCAGTTACAATCAGTTTGGTCATTTCAATACTTACAGATAAATCAGTTTCATCTTTCGTAAAATATTCAATGTAATGCGCAAGCAGTTCCCATTTAGCAAGATACAAGTACTGAAACTTTTGAACATTTGCAGTATTTGCTTCACATTGGTTAAACATAGAATTCAGGTACTCCATAACGATACCCTTCACAGTATCTTTTTTCATGTAATATATTTTATCATCGATTTGTTTTATTATGTTCGTTTTACGTGTTACATTCTGTTCGGTATCTATAAATACCTTAACTGCTGTCCAAAGGGCATCGTAAAATTCACCCACGAACTCAGCAGATAGTTTATAAGTTCTATAGAGTGAAAACAAATCGTCGTCATCGGTATCGTTAAGATCTAACGTCAAAAACTTTAAGATATCGTACAACTCTTTTTCAGGATCATTTGCAGTTTTCTCAAATATATTCTTGTATATGACACTTCTAATAGACACATTTTTAGTGCTTTTCCAAGCATTCAAAAGAAGTTTCTTCAAATTTTCAGCACTAAAGCATTTAAAAGCTAACCTTAAGCCGTGTTTTTGGGTTGAAACAGGAGAATTTATTAGAGATTCGACGAATTTCAAGCATGTAGGATTGGGTAGATTCATGAATAGCCGGTTAAACATTGGCAAGCAGTAGTGGACATAATCGCCCTTTATGTACTTCAAGATGTTAGCAAGAGGCACTAGCGGCCGTGAGTAGCTGACATAGCGACAAATTGCTTCCTGCTTTTTCAATAAACCCGCGTCTATATGCTCATGATCGATTTTCGCATTTTCTGGTGCATTTTCTTCCATGAAACGAATTTTATGTTTCTCATCGCTTAGTTGGAATATTCCGTACACGGCAGAATGTATTCCCCTACGCTGATTCTTCTCGACGCTTTCAGAGAGCAAATCAGTATAAAATTTGAGGAATGTTTGTCCAACATCTTCTGAAAAGTATACTTTCAACTTTTTTAATAAATTGTTCGTTTTATAGGTCCAGGATTCATTAATTGCTTGCTTTATTTCCGGTAACTTATCAATCGCTAGTTTTGAATCTTCTTTGAGACACTTTATTAAATCACTTTCTGTTAATTCTTTATCTGACCTCTGGAGTATTTGCTGATACCTGTAACTATCTTTATCCTGTTTCGTAAATTCTATTATATTGTCAGGAATGTCAGCTCTAGTTTTTTCAAACAAAGCCATAAGTTCCAACAGAAAATGCAAGCAGGTTACTAATTTATCATCTTTACTGCCTGGTTGAAATTTAATAATTCTATTCAAATAAAAATTAAAAATGTAATCATACACTTTTAGTTTAGTTTCTTTGTCTATATTTTCGATGTGTTTTTTAATGGAGTAAATAGGCATGGACAATTCCATAAAATGTACTAATACATCAGGCATTTCTTTGTCATTGATTATATTAAATAACATGGCAACAATTTTGAAATCAGGATTACCACCATCTGCATCAAAAGCCTTCATGCTGTTACAAATTTTAGTGAATGCTGTCCAGCACCTATCTTCAAACTTAAATACATTATGATGACTCGTAATGTTCAGTAAAAACATTGTTTTGTTAGTTTTATTTTCATTAACATGCCTTTCATAATAATATTGCAACAGTTTTTCAACTTCGACATTATTTGTTGCAGACTGTACTAAAACTTTGAGAAGATCAGATCGTTTAGTCTTATCAGTTGTAGTCTGGATTAGCTTTTTAATTTCATCAAATGCTTTAGTAAAGTTAACGAATTTGTACCAAATAAAGTTTCTACCACTACCAAAAATTTCATTTCCGCTGGCAATGTGGCGCATAGCCCAAGCTTCCCTTTCATCCAACGTCATAAGGCTATAATACTTTTCAACGTAAAATTCTTTACACATCTCAAACTCTTCATTGTGATATTTATCTGCAAATATCTTCTTGGCAAAAGCATATCTTTCGTTCTCAGGAACAACATTGATTATCTGCCTGAACTTTATTTGATGACGATTGCTCCAAAATTCAGACACTTTTGCTGGCAGCAGAAAAATGGCGAAAAACTCAACTTCATTCAATGAACTATGCCTAAGTAATTTCCCAACATTGAGTATATTCACATACAAGTCTGGTTTCGCCATTATCCGGTTTTTGTGTTTTATAGCAATGTGCTTAGTTATTTTTAAGCTTAACGTAAAACGATTTTTCGATTCGTCAACATGTTTCTCCAGCAAGTCTAAGTACTGAACATCAGATACCGAGTACAAATAACTGAATTTCTCAAAAGCATCATTTTTATTCCAACATGAACTCCGTAAGTACTCTTCAAACAGTGTAAAAGAGTTACCAATGAACATTTTCCAGTACTCAGTGTCGTTTCGTTCAATCTCAGAAATATTTTCTTGCATTAACTCCAATTTGAATGATTCAGATGTGAATTTTAGGAATTTATATCCAAGAGCATCCAATTTAATTTTTTTGCAATAACGGTAGAAATCAGCTGCACGGTTCTCATTTCTCATGTTCATGTATAACGCTGTCAGTAAATGCTTTTTCATTTTTAATGACATAAATGGGAATATGTTGTAGTGCAAATAATCAGTGTTCATGATAGTAGCGAATTCATCATCATAGAGCCAACAACATTTTTTGAGCACTCTGGATATGTAAAGAGAGTCACCCGATTTCAATGTTTCGATTATAAATTCAGTGTTTTTATACTTAGCAGCAACATCAATTTTGAATAGTCTATCAGCATCTGAAGTTTCTGTTTCAGCTTCAATCTCCTTGAATGGGACATTTTTGGAAACAGTTTCGTTGACTTGAATGTTTAGTTCGTGCTGGCGCTTCGGCAAGTTACTTCCTGATAGTTTCACCATGATGAATATATCGCCAGCTAATAGATGCTTGCACCTGTAAGATAAATGTTGAATTTCAAGAAACAAGGTATTAACTGGTATTTAAAATTGTACAGAATTGGAAGATTAATGAGTTTTTATTATCGTACTGAGTTTGTCTAATCTAAATCTACGAAATTATTAATAAAGCAAAGTCTTAACTCACACAGATAATCACATACCATGCAGAAAATGAGTAATGGTTTTTTTTTAAATATATGACGTCACTACTTTTATTCTAATTTTACACACTAAAATCTATTTTTTTTTTTACTAAAATAAAATCTTATAGCCAAAACAATCGGTATGACATCATTGTCATAGAAAATGTAGGATGAATCATTTAAAGGGGCGGATATTCTAGCAAATTATTATTGTCAATTATTTTAATTTAATTAGCTCTAATCGATGGCTCCTACGTATAAAGGCGAAACTGCCGCTTACGCCTTTTTCCAATTATTTAAGCAATGATTTCCCTTTGCTCTAATCTATAACATCAGCAAGAAAAAAAAATTTTTTTTCCATTAGATACAAAATAAAATTTTAGGCAAATAGGCGTATGTGCAAAAATACGCCACGTATAAAGCCCGATCATTCGATTCTCCCATCTATTCGAGTAGTTGCTTACATAAATATATATTTTTTATAATCTTAATCTTAAATAAAGCCATGAAAATATTTAGCAAATTGTTTTATTTATAAATTATGACACATTATATAGTTATTTAATTTTTAGCGTTAAGAGTCGCATCTCAAACTAATTTGAAAATTATAAATAACTTGAAAAAAACGAACTGCCTAAGGCATCGTGGGTTCAATTCCCGCCTTAGGCAGTTCGATTTTTTCAATTTATTTATAATTTTTAAAAATATGACACATTATGTTAAAAGACCTAACTAAATCTCGAACACAGTATATGGGCGTATTTGCGTTAAAACGTAATAACGATACATTAAACAACTTTTTCTAACTGATTTATTATTGATAATAGCACATGATAACAATAAAACAATTACATGCATAAATAAAGAGGGTAATCGCTTAAAATAATTATATTTACGTTGTCATTTAAGTCTCTTTACGTTGAACAATAAATAAAATAAAAGGGCCAATGTGTAAAATCTCAAAATATACAAAAAAAATATAAAAATTGATAACAGCAGTAGCAAAAGCATTACATGTTAAGACTAAATGTGAAATTTCATTAAATTCGTTTTAGTAGGTCAGAAGATATGACCGAAAAATATGGTTCTGGCTACTTAAATGGCTCTCCTGTAAAATCTATTTTTTTCACTTACGCCAGTATACGTAGGAGCCATCGTAATACATTTATCTACTTTACAAGTTACCACCGTCTTATCATCAAACTAAACATTTAGAGATTGTGGCAAAATACTGCTCAAGATGTCACAATGTTTTGTATTGATGCACCATTGTCCTGAGATGGTCTGAGAAGGAACCTACCTACATTTAAAACAAAATAAGAATCTAGATTAGTTTTCTAGTAATGTACATAAATCATTATCATCATATCATAAAGATTTAAAATTAGTTACCATACCTGAATTTTATTTATAAATACGATGGTGGCTGCAGTTTTTTGCCGGTATTATGTGTCGTACTAAGGTTATGCATTGACCTCGTCTCCTATGAAAAATCTTCAATTTCAGTTCATGGTTATTTTGTGGTAAGATTTCCTATTTAGTTGGACTTGGAATTTGAATTTCTAACTCGATTACTCGACCAAGGACCAAACTCACTCCAAAAGAAGTACACAAAAAAAACTACCAATTACCATAGAGAAAAGTAATACATAGGAAATAGAGAACCCTCTCTGTCAAATTTTTGAACCTACTAATTGACAGCCTGGTGTTAAATTCCCTGTACTTAACCTACGTACATAACGCTCACATACATACATANTATTGTTTTGTGATTAGTAGATTGAATTTAGTAAAAACTACTTAAATAATTTCGAAACTTTAATAATCATAATGATCTGTTACTTTAATTTCGGGCGGGCGAAGTCGTGGGCAAAAGCTGGTTTAATACAATATAATTTTTATTTCAAATCAAACTGACTGAAAATGACAATTTGACTAGTTTTTGACCAATTTGACCGTAAATGACGTTCAGTCAAATTCAATCAGTTTTTTCAATTTTAACACTTGGCCATCGACGTCCTTTCGGCACATTCGCGACACCCCTGACTTTTGCATACCGAGCGCATACCGTGATTTGAATTTCGAAAGAAAGATCTCGTTTCGTCTGTTTATATGAAGTTACAATACTGTATGATATTATTACCGTGGTTGTATGGAAGTTTCCACACCCTGAAAACTACCTTGACGACAAAATTGACAATTAAATATTGTCACTGTCAAATTTGACAACATTTCAGGTAAGTGTCACTTGGTGTCACTAGTGGTGTGAAATGAAATCGTTGTAATGCAACAACTATAAGAACGATTTTTGTTGAAATATCGATTTTTATAGTGACTGGTTAAAACTTAAAATCTTAAATTAGTTATCAAAAGAGTAAGAAAAACATTTCTCATACTGAAAAATATGTAGGATTCTCAATACATTATTTCTTACTTCATTACTATAAGCTCGGTCGGAAGGTGGAGTTCTGTGTTGTGGTTGTGGCTTAGGTTGTGGGGCATTAGTGGGGTGATGATATCATTAAAAAAAATTATGACTCACAAAGCCATAATATCTAGATATTATACGGCTTTGTGAGTCATAATTTTTTTTAGCGGCTAGCCGCCAGGCTTTTAAAATATTTTAGTAGCGCCTGATTTTAGTATAAATAATTTCTCTCACTGAATTGTACATTACATTATGATTATAGGTTTATCGCTAGTTATCAAATCGTTAAAAATGATAATAAAACAGGGATAACAGAATAGGTAGATAAGGTACAAAAATACATATAACGTGATGTGACGTAGGTGGGAGGCCTCCCACTCAAGCACATAATCAGCAGGAGGCAATGAAAAGAACGGGAAGGGATGAAATAAATAAGATAATGTAGTGCAATAATTGTTTTATTCATAATTAATAAGAACATTACCTTTATTGTACTATCACAGTTAGAGTCCGATCGATCAAGTGACACTTCACTGGGAGGTTCTAGGTTCGATTCCCACCCAGGGAGAAATACATCACCACTAACCCCACTGTGATGAATACCTACCTACATACAACCTGTGCCATCTATTGGTGATCTGAGAAACTACTTTAGCCTTAACCATTAGATAGCCCTAAAAAAATAATTAAAATATATCAAGACCAGAAAAAAAGCCGTCTTCATCTGTACTGTCAGTTTTAATACTGTCACGTATTGTATTGCACACTTTTCGAAATCTTTGATGTAAAACATACAGCACTTCCTGATAAGAACATTTTTGAAGTTTTTCGATGGCAAACAAGAAGCTACCACTTGGACTTTCATGTGGTAGTAACTGTACTGCTAGCAAGAAAGTTGCGGGGAGTTCATTTTCTATTAATCCCGAAGCAACTGTTATCATGATTTCGTCCAAATATCTTACTATATCTATATAGTTATTAATTATTTTTAAATAATATTTAAAGACTTCTAAAATCTGTTTTATATTGTCTTCTACTATTTCCTTTAAAGTTAACGAGAATGACACAACGTATACCTCATTTGCATACTTTGAAATAGCTTTAGCCAATTCGTGACTGTATACCTTAAAAGCGTCAATTATAACGTTGTGAAGATCTTTTACATCATAGCGATGAGTTTTTTTGCTTGCTTGTATAAAGCTGCTCTTACACTTTCCTATTACTTGTCTGCTAATTATTGCTAGTTGTAAATCCCACCTCAATTTGTATGTATCGTATAACGGTAACGATGATTTAACCAAAGCCAGAAAATCTTCGAAAATAGGAACCGCATCTTCAAAATGCTGGACATTATGTTTAAAACTGGCTTCCTCCAGATAACAGAAGAAATCACAAAGTAGTTTTTGGTACAAGAAATCATCATAAATTACTTTATCCCAATTTTCTATGCTGTTTTCTATAACACTGCGAGATAGTAGCATACTTTCGTCAAGGGAATATTCAGGACGAGTGTGATGTATGACGTATCGGGCTACAAGCTTCCATTTTTCTTTACAAAGTTGTGATATCTCATCTTCAGCATACGTTATCTTTAGTTTATTTTCTTTTATCATCATATTCATGTGCTGTTCGATTATCTTGCTTACAAAACTTTTCTTAACAACATCAAGTATATTTTGTATGTGATGTATCACCTTCTGTTTGCGCCCTATATTCGGTTGTTTATCTTCAAAGGAATTAACTGCATCCCATACGGCTTCAATATAGTCACCCAGTAAATCATCGGGTAATTTTTTTGATACAACGAGATCAAATACTTCATTTTCATCGGTTTGACGTAAACCTGAAGTGAATTTTAATAGCATATCCAAAAGCATTCGGTTTTTTGTGTCTGCTACTTTATTTAAAATTGTTTCATAAATGACGCTTCTCGTAGACTTGTTCTTAGTGCTTGTCCATATATTTGTGATAACTTTAATTAAGCTCTGTGCAGTGCAGCATTCAAAGGCTAGTTGGATTGCATGTTTGTGTCTTGATACTGGAGTATCAAGAAGCAACTGCAATAACTCTAGACATATCGGTGAGGGGAAGATCGCGAAGTACGTTTTAAGAATATGTAGATAATATTTATCAGAACAGCCTTTCATATACTTAACCATGATGGCAGGGGGCACATGTGGACGCGAAATGCAAGCGTTCATACAAATAGCTCTTTGTATGCGCAGTTGATCAATGTTATCATTTTTTAGTCCGTCTTTTTTATTTGCCGGTGCATGTTTTCCCATTATTTCCAATATGGCGTTTTCATCACCTAATTTCAAAATACCACGTACACCAGCGTGCACTGTCCGCTTGTTTTTATTTTCACTGACGAGGTCTTCAAACATAGCTAGATAGACCTTGGTAACATCTTCTGAAAAATATATCATAATTTTATCAAGAAATTTATCAAGCTTTATTGAAGCATTCTCATATTTGTTTTTAATTTCTGTTACTTTAGAGATAACAAGTGTCTTGTCCTCTTTGAGATCTTGCAAAAGTTGTCTGCCTGAGAGTATTTTTAGTGACAATTTAGGGATGATTTTCAATTGTTCGTCTGATTTTGCTACGTTTGAAATTGCATCGTAAAATATGGTAATTGCACTTTTTATAACAGCAAAAACTGGCTTTGCTTCTGCAGCTTCATCCTTTGAATTCCGATGACGATGGCATTTATTATCAGCTTGTTTGACATAAAAATCATAGAAGAAGTCAAGTATTTTTTTATAATTCTCATATCCTACATTTTCTATGTGGTCGTCGACAGAGTTCAAGTCAAATTCTTCAAGGAAATATTTCATCAATTCATCAGGAAACGGTTTTTCATGTAGTATGTGGTATAAAACGATCATAGTTTTATAACTTTTGAAATAATTAATGTTAGTTGCATCATTTGAACTATAGAGATTCACACTAAGCAATATTTTATAAAAAGTAGCCCAGCAATCATCATCAAACTCAAACACGTTGTGGTGTGATATGACTTTCTTTAGAAAGTCATTACAAGTTCTTAATTCATCTAAATGAACTTTATTATAATAATCGAAGAGCAACTGCAAATCCTGATTATTTTTAGCCGATTCTAATAAAACTATGCACATGTCAGTGCGTTGTTCTGTATCATCAGTAACGTCGATAAGTTTCTTTATTTCTGGGAAAGCTAATTCGAATTCAATAAATCTATACCAGCGATACTCATTTCCTAGGCCGAGAATTATATCTTGACGTTTTAAATGACTTAAAGCCCATTCTTGCTTCTCCGAAGGATTCATAAATTTGTAATATTCCATATCATAAAACCCTCTATGCATTTCGAACTCACCAAGAGGGTAAATCTTAGCGACAAAATTTTTCAAAAATGGTAAGAAATTCTCATTTCCAATAATATCAAATATGGGCTTGTGAGCCTCATGCCATTTACAATCCCAAAATCTGTAGGGACTGAAAAATACATCAGCATAAATTTTCGCGTCATCAATCGTACTATGCTTTATAAAAGCTTCTGTATCAAGAATATAATAATAAACGTGTGGCTTTGCAAGCACTCTGTCCTTATTATATTTCATGATGCTATTAGATATCTTCGCGCCAAATTTAGCAGTAATAAAATTTACTTTTAATATAAGCCACTTTTCTATAACATCTAAATACTTTTCTTTAGATACTGTATAGTACAAATATTTAACGTTGAAAACAGTTTTACGTCTTATGCTTTTATAATAAATATTTAGCAATGCATCTAAAACTTCAAATGACTTCCCGATCAGTAATTTGAAGTATTTAAACTTTTTTTCTAATTCAATTACAGTGTATCCCTCCAATTTTGGTAAGGTTTCTAGTTTGAATGCTACTGATGTATTTATGAGACAGTTGAATGCTGTGAATAGCATTTTTTCTTGCATACAAACATTATAGAACTGGACAGCACGATCTGGGTTCTTGATATATTTGGCTGTAGTTTTCAAAATTTTCTTCTTCACTCTCATTGAGGTGACAGAAAATATGTTTTCGTAAAGATATTCTGGGTTCAAAACGTCAGAATACTGGTCTTTAAATAACCATTTGCATTTTCTTAGCGCTCGTGCCGTGTAGAATTCATCTCCAGATTTAAGCGTTTCAATAATGTAGTCAACATTTTTATATTTTGCAGCGAGATCAATTTTAAATAAACGGTCAATCTTCGTATTTTCTGGTATACATTTTGCAATTTCAAAATTCACTTGTTGAGAAAAAGCGTCATTGACCTTCTTGTTGAGAGCGCGTTGTCTGCTACCCAAGTTGTCAGTAGCAAGGGTCAACTGTTTATCTGTAACCAAACAGTAGGTAAATAAATAATGAATTTCTAACAATATGGCGTTCGATTATCATTATGACTCATTGAACATAAAAAAAAACTGGCAAGAACCATCTGTCCCCCGTCCCATAATGCAGTTGTTTTGACACTACAGTTAAAACACAAGACTAACAAATAAACCAAAACGTGATGGTAACCATTATCCCTATCTGTCTTATTAAGGGTTAAGCCTTCAGCTCCATGCTTTTATTAAGTTGCCAAGTAGCTACTTGTTTCAAAGCTGTTAAGTCTAAAAGACCTCATATTCCTATTTATAGTATAGAAGTTGTTCCTACAAACTTCCGACTTGTAAGGCAAAACAAAAGGTGCTCGCTAATTTATTTAATAATAATATGGCCTCAAATTTAATTATCTACATTACGACGACATACCTACCAAGTCCATGAAAAAAATACTCTAATCTTTTATCATAGATAAGTGTGGGTATTTAATTATCACTAGGTATTTGAAATAAGTAGGTACAAGGGATCCGGCCCAGATTTGCAAGGGTGCAAAAGATAAAATATTTTTTTAAACAAACCTTACCTGTTTGCATTTTGTAATCTTGGTTTGTTCTGCTTTCTTTTTCTGATGCAGGTAGATCATCATCATCTTGATTATTTTGATTATGACGCTCCAAGCTGGCACTTTGTGACATTTTCAAGACTGGAAAAAATAAAGCATTAAAATATGGACTTACTTTTTATTTCCATTTTAATTAATTTTGGGGGACGGGCACATCTGTGTGCTTACACTAAACACGCACGGTAGCATTTTATTTCTCAATAATGTACTATCACCAACGTGTTATCTGCCCATTGCCAGCCATGTCATTTCGTTCTATCGCAAAGAATCACCATTTGATTAGAGCGAGAGCAAAAACGGAAATGGATAGTTAACAGTGTGGCCGTGTGTAAATGTAAACTTTAGTACCTATCTCATTTATAATTTCTTATTAGGTAGGTTTTAAACTCAAAATCGTGAGGTTCGATCTTCGCGCCATCTGTTGACATCAACGCGAATGCTGAGTGTTATAATAAAGTTTTTGAGTAAATGATGGGCGTTTAAAAGGTTAATTAATCCAGCCATTAGTCCATTTTAGTCTATTTCCCTCAGATAAGTAAGTTACATTTACTTATGGGGGCAACCACGGGGGTCAATTATTATGCTAAATTACACAATAATGTGAAATACCTAAATGGTGAAACAATTTTCACCATTGTGTTTTATACTATTCAAAGACACAACAACTGTTTTTTTTTGTGAAATTAAAATTTGATTAGGTACCTACCAATGTACCTACATTATTAAATTTTAAATTATATTTACCTTGTTTTAAGTTCAATTTCGTTGATAGCCAATATAAAGTTTGTCCCGCCCGGTTTGTTGACAGTATTCGACTGTATGAAGAGAATTAATTAATACCTAACGACCTAACTCCGTAAATTCAATATAAATCCAACCGTAATCAAATCCAAGCAAAGACTAAATTGTAAATAAATAAAAGCCCCAAGCCAAGGTCCTACCTATTTAAAGCTCTGTCGAGTAAGCTGTTTTGTAGCCAGCGGATTTCTACAGCTAAACATGATTTTATTCAACAAAATTATTATTGTCTACTTGTGTGCTGTAACCTGCTGTAACACATTAATCAAAACCCTTAAAGAAGGAATATTAACTTTATGTCAAAAGCGCATTATGCTCTTTAGTCCAAATATTAATATTTTTTTTGATAAAAAGTTCTTTAAAATGGATTTACCACGCGCCTGATGATCTCGGTCATTTTTTTTTTCATTTACTTGCTAGAGATGTGACGTAGAAAAATTTTCGTATAATCGATTAATCGAATAATCTGGTATTGATTAAATTACTCAGAGAGAAGATTATTATTCTATAAAGATCAGTTTTTGCTCATTTAAGCGGGATATTTCGGTCGTTTTCTTACATTTTTTAATGTTACGAAATGCAAATTGATATTTTTATAGCTCCAAAATTGTATTTATTCTCTGTGTGTTAATTAATTAATTATCTGTGCTCAAATAGAAAATGGCGGTTGTTGTCATGGAAAATGTACTTTCGCTTCATAAAATTTTATAGCAAATCGTCGTAAAGTATTGAAAAAGAGGAATTATTTTGTCAGTTATTCGTATTTTCATTACTACATTCTTTACTTATTAGTCAAATTAAGATATTATAGTTTATACTTTAAGTATAGAAATGAAGTTCGTGGTAACCGCGTAAGGCTCGGTTTATTTGTTCACAAAGCGTGATAAGTGTTGGGATTTTGTGTTTATTTTCTGTTAAAATGCGCTTTGAATAATCGTATACCTTACAAACTACTTTGTTACTGTGTATGGATGATATTGTGCGTTACGGTTCTGTGATTTTAAACGTAAAAATGTGCAAGTGTTAATTTGTGTACTTCTGACTAAAATGGGTGAAACAGAAGAATTTAATACCCTGGCGTTCGAAAAGAGGTTGATGCAGCTAAAGGATACTCAGGAGAGTATCCAGTCACTTTCCTCCTGGTGTTTGAAGCAGAGGTCCCACCATAAGAAGATTGTATCAAGTTGGTTGAATGTTTTGAAGAGAGTGAAGGTGGAGCAACGTCTAGTTCTGTTTTACCTAGCGAACGACGTGATACAGTATAGTAAACGTAAAAATTACGAGTTCGTAGAAAGCTGGGGCCTTAATTTGCAAAAGGCTACTCCGTTGGTCAGGTTAGTTTTTGGTTGTAGGTTATGAGTTTACCGTCTAGTTGTTTCATTTAAGTGTAATATGAAATGTGTGCTAACTGAAACTGTCTGTAGGAAATACATGAAATTCTTTATGAAAAAGGTTACACACTTGCTAGATGAAGAAAGCAAGAAGTCTGTATAAAATTTCTTTTAAAATTATAAATATTGGTTACGGGCTATTAAAAAAGTTATTTACGGATTTAGCCGCAGTCTGAATGTCAGTCTTTCCAAATCAATAATAACTTGTAACATTGATAAATTGTATTGTTTCAAAGTAAAAAATATATTCAATAAAATATCGTTACAGGGATGAAAAAGTTCGACCGAAGATCCTTCGGATATTTAAAATCTGGGAGCAGAGGTCGGTGTATGACGATGAGTTCCTTTCCGATCTGACGGGCCTGCTCAGTGCCGGTGCTGTTAAAAAGACTGATGATGACCCTTTGGACTTCCAAGTAAGTAGGCTCATGTTTACGGTAGCATTGGCTTCTTAGAAATAAAATAAAATTATGTCTCAAATGGGATTTGTCATTTGTTGGCTATTCCCAAAGGTCTACGACTATTGTTTTTCTTTATCCTTGGGTCCACAAACTTATCCGAAGTACGATACAAGTCACAAGAGATTTGTATGAAGAATTTAGCTTTTAATTAATTAATTTATGGGAAAGAAAGAAATACTTTTTTGTTTTTAATGTCATGGACCTGTTGGGAATCAAAGTATGAATATACATATGTGTCACTAATAGTGTCTTATTTCTGTTTCCAGCCGCAACAACTTGTAAATAAAATAAAGCAGTGTACAGTGCTTGAGGCGGACACAGATCTGCGATTAAAATTCATCCACGACAGTCACTTGCAGCTCTCTGATGCTGATGCTTTGTTAGCTAATTTAAAAGGTAAGTTGGAAGTAATGACTATAAAATGAAAAAGAATAATATTATTATTACAATGTCTGTCAACTACCTACGACTAAATTATTGACAGTTCATTTGGTTTTAAGCCAGCCGGGCGAAATGTTATTGTAGGGCTTATCATGCAAATACAAAATAAATAAATAAGATTCAATGATAAAAGTTTATCGTTGCGCGCATCCTAAGCCTTAGCACTAGGATACCCGCCGTGGTAAAATTTTATTGATGATTTTAAACGACAAATGTATGGGCTTATCGCATAAAATCGATAAAATGGCATGATAAACGCATATCGCGGCGCGCATCCTACCTAGGCCTAATGGACATGGATTAAGTCCCTTTTTCTTTTTGTTCAAATACACCTCTAAAAGTCAACAAAGCTTTTTTTCAATAAATTATTAATTAGAAATTAATATAAAACTCCTATTTACAGATAGAAGTCATAAAGATGACGTAGAAAAAGAACTGAACGAGGGTATAGCGTGTGTAGAACGCTACACGGCGGCGCTACAAAGAGAGATAGTAGCGCGGGAGGCGCTATTGGCGCTACTCGCTTCAGCTAACCAATACTACTCGACGCAGCGCGGCGAAGTCAAAGTTGTCGCTTATGTGAGTGGTTTTTAGTGATATTAGTCTACAAAAACTATGAAAGTTTAAAATTGATGTCAGTAGAAAGTATTTTGGAAAAGGAAACAATGAAGTGTTCGAACACTAGATGTATCACAAAGAATTGCCATTTGATGAGAGCGAAAAAAAAACTGAAATAGGTAGCTGGACTAGTGCATGTATGATGTGGATTGTAAAAATGCCAAGTGTTAAGGTTTTTCGAAAATTACATTGGATGTGGCAGGTTAGGCAACCAACTAACGGACAAGTCTTCGAATATTTGGTCAGTGACCCGTGTGTGATGTTAAATCCTCCATTTATTTATTCTAAGGCCGCTTTCTGATTTGTCGGCGCGGTAGCGGCGTGACATCTGCACGCTAGGAATACGCGGTACCGAAAGCTTACTAAAATACAGTGTGAGTCACGTTAAAGTGTACATATGAAAATATATGAAACTAGACCTATTTTTATCGATAAAAAAGAGGTCAAAAAATTTTTGAGACTTTTTTTTAATTTTTTATAGAATTTTTATTCTTCCAATTACTTATTGTAAAGAAAACGTAATAACTTTTAAACTAAGCGGTATATCCTGATAAAATAAAAACAGTAATAATGCTAAATAACAGGCGATACTAAAAAAATACATGAAATACCTAGAAAATGCCAACAAATAATAAAAAATGATACTTTTTGAAAAAAATCTGCTTAAAAATTCGTATTTTTTTTGGTTATTTGATAAATTTCTCCAAAAAAATGCCCCTACAACAAGTGGTTTTTATTACTTTTTATTATTCTCTATCGTATTACTTTTGTAAAACCAAAAATCGCATGTCTTTATCCCTATCACAACGTTTGCAATGATCGTTTGAACTAAGCCTCTCCGGGCGCGCCATTCAACGCTTCGTTAACAACGAAACTGAAAGTGACTCTAGATTTGTAATTTTGATAAAGACAAGTTAGATTTTAAATAAAAACAAAAGATTTCGAAGTAAAATAAGCATTTGAGTTAAAATTAAAATTGTCTCTACCTGTAGCGGAGAAAAATGTGGTGGCAGGCCTTTGTTCAAACAATCATAGCAAATGTTGTGATAGGGATAGAGACATGCCATTTTTAGTTTTACAAAAGTAATACGATAGAGAATAATAAAAAGTAATAAAAACCATCTATTATAGGGGCATTTTTTGGAGAAATTTATCAAATAACCAAAAAAAAACTTTTAGAATTTAAAAGCAGATTTTTTTATGTATTTTTTTAGTATCGCCTGTTATTTAGCATTATTACTGTTTTTAATTTATCAGGATATACAGCTTAGTTTAAAAGTTATTAGGTTTTCTTTACAATAAGTAATTGGAAGAAAAAAAAATCTATAAAAAATTAAAAAAAAATCTAAAAAAATTTTGACCTCTTTTTTGTCGATAAAAATAGGTCTAGTTTCATCTATTTTCATATGTACACTTTAACGTGACTCACACTGTATACTCTATGAAGCTTACCGAGCGCCTATATTTCAATGGAGTGTTCCTGATTGAGTCTGTGCCGCGCCAATCGGGAACGCTCCCGTGAAATATAGGCGTTCGGTAAGCTTTCGGCCGCGCCTACAAATCAGAAAGCGGCCTTAATTTGAATAAAAAAAAAAACAGAATTGAGAAACTCCTCTTTTTTGAAGTAATTTTGGTGAAGTCACTGTCACTTAATGAGACTGTCACTTAATTTTTTATCATTCTTCCACAGGCGTACAAAAACTTCGGCGGTCGCGTTCGTCTACTAAAACGTAAACTCGACGAGCTCCTACCTACCCTGCCCGCCGGCGCGCCGTCGCCGCCGCAGCGGGACGAGGACGTTCCGTCGCCGGGGCCCGACGAGGACCTGGAGCTGCCCGCGCCCGACCACGAGCCCGACGCAGACAGTGAGTCACAATAGTACCTATTACGATTGCGTAAGGTGCCTTCTAGCTTGTGTCACCTGATAACTACTACGAGCGACGTTCATTTGTTTCTTGAACTGCCTGCGCCTGATAGCAACGAGAGACGATGACAGTGAGTGCAATGGACCTTATTACGACTTCATAAGGTGCCTTCTAGCTTGATTCACCTGATAGTTACAACGAGCGGCGCGCGACGCTCACTTGTTTCTTGACCCGCCTGCGCTTGACAAGGGAGACGATCACAGTGAGTACATTGAACACTATTGCAACTGCATAAGGTGCCTTCTAGCTTGATTCACCTAATATCTACTAAGAGCGGCGCGCGATGCTCATTTGTTTCTTGACCTGCCGGCGCTTGACAACAAGGGAGAGGACAGTGAGTCGCAATAGACCCTATTGCCACTGCATAAGGTGCCTTCTAGCTTGTGTCACCTGATAACTACTACGAGCGACGCTCATTTGTTTCTTGACCTGCCGGCGCTTGGCAACAAGGGAGATGACAGTGAGTACATTCTTGTTGCAAATTCGCTCTTATTGCAACTACATTAGAGGCTTTAGCAACGAGGGAGACCATGACAGCGAGTACTTTCTCGTTGCAAACTCGCCTCTATCCCAAGCACATAAGAGTGTTGTAAGCAGCGGGACGAGGACGTGCCGTCGCCGGGGCCCGACGAGGACCTGGCGCTGCCCGCGCCCGACCACGAGCCCGACGCAGACAGTGAGTCACAATAGTACCTATTACGATTGCGTAAGGTGCCTTCTAGCTTGTGTCACTTGATAACTACTGCGAGCGACGCGCGACGCTCATTTGTTTCTTGTTTGGTGCAGACAGTGAGTGCGCACCCTATTGCCGCGGCGTAAGGCGCTTTATTGCAGAGCTTAGCGACGAGGGAGACGATGATAGTGAGTCGTCTTTATTGCGGCTGCATAAGGTGCTAAATGTAACTTGTGTCTCTTGGTGACTGCGACGAGCGACGTTCATTTGTTTCTTGAACTGCCTGCGCCCGACCACCAGTCGGGCGACGAAAGTGAGTCGCAATGGACTCTAATTACGACTGCATAAGGTGCCTTGTAGCTTGTGTCATAATTATGGTGCTTGCGACAAGCGACGTTCACTTGTTTCTGGACCGGCCCGCGTGAGTCACGCTGGACTCTATTACAACTGCATAAGGTATAGTAACTTAAGTCACGTGGTACCTACAACGGGCGACGCTCGACTCATTTGTTTTTAGAACTGCCCGCGCCCGACCACGTGTTGGGCGACGATAGTGAGAGACAATGGACCACAGATATAGATATACATAGATAACGCAAGTAGCACGATCTGTATTAAAACCAAGCGTGCCGACTTTTTAATACCTACTGTGACGTCACAGACAACATTTAGTGACGGGAAATCGTAATCGATTCAAAGATGCCGATGCCGCCGCTGCCCCAACGCACCGCTACGATCACAGAAATGGCATCGATTATCTGACAGACGAATGAGATACACAGACGAATGAGATATACAGACGAATGATATTAAACGGAATGTTTAAATAGATAATATTTTCATTGAATTCTAAAAGGCTAATTTTAGACACGATCCCGTATTAATAAAAACTTAAAATATGTTATTATTTACTTTAAATAGTGAATAAAATACATTTTAAGTTTTTATTAAAATATCAATATCTCGACAACGGTGCCTCGTAGATATTTTGTATTGCTCTTATAACATATCCAGCAATATTATGTGATTATTTGGTCACAAAATTCTGTTATTTGTGGCAATGTTTTATAAAAATCATCAAAATCACGTACACTACTTGTATTCATTTCTCTACAATCTACATCATCATCAGCAGATCATTATTTCTTATATGTATGTACACACATTATTATAAATACTTTTACATGAAAATACATATATCTATACTATACTTTTTCTAATTTTCTCTTCCTTGACAACAATAGAGGTTGTTGTGGTGTTTCTTTAATCCATTATCTTCATTTTTTTTAAATCGAAAACTAGGAAAAAAAGTCATAAATAAATACTACAAATACACATTAATTAGAATATTTATTTATATATGAGAGTTATTTTTTAATAATAAATTAGTATCATTCGTCTGTCCGATATCGATAAGAATCGATTTATTGATTAAAGTAGTAGAACGAACAACACTAGTAGCAAAATTTGACAGACGAATGAGAAGTTGCGTGTACAACGAAGTCGAAGCGATGCGCGACAGTGGCGCTTGTCCGTTATACATCGCCTCTAAACACATAACGTCAGATCAAACGCTCAAAACAAACCCGGCAATGTATCGTAAAAAATTGTTTGAATGGTAAGTTATAAGTTTTTAGGTACATTCTTGAAACCAACGCTTGTAATACTTAAAAAATTGTTTTAAAATGAATTAACACTCAATATTATATCAAAATAACTTACCCGTGATAGGAAATATGTCCTTGCCTTTGGGAGCTCGAAGTTTTTGGCTTATTGCAATTAATTATCACACATTGAGGCATTTTTCTAGTTTTCGCGGCCGTCCGCATGCAACAACAGACGCGCGTGGACTGTGAGCAGCGGCAGCTCATTCCGATGATTTATCGGGATCGGGACACGCGAAGTAGGTGCATTCGCGTTATCTAGGTATATCTATATCTGTGCAATGGACCCTATTGCAACTGCATAAGGTGCTTTCTAGCTTGTGTCACCTGATAGCTACTACGACCGGCGCGCGACGCTCACTTGTTTCTTGACCTGCCGGCGCTTGGCAGCAACAAGGGAGACGGATGACAGTGATTGCACACGACCCTATTGCCACTGCATAAGGTGCCATATTGTGCTAGGATTTTATGCAGACGACTAAAGCCTGGTCCGTGAGCACGTAGAATCCCGTCCAATGACCCCAAGCTGCCCATCCTTGTCGCTCGCACGTAATTATGTTGCTGTCGCGCTCGCACACTCACTGCGGGCGCGTGTCGCACAGTCGCGACAGCAATATAATTACGCGCGAGCGATAAGGATGGGTAGCTTGGGGTCATTGGACGGGATTCTACGTGCTCACGGACCAGGATTTATACATTTTTTTTTGCAAACTCGCTAAATAAGTGGCTTGTTACTTGCTAGTGGCTAAGACAGTGGCGCCATCTAGTGAGCATAAATTTCTCTTCTGCTCTTTGAGGTGAACCTTGTGTCCTGTAGTGGGACGTATATTAGCTTACGTCCATAAAAAACATCAATTCAAATAGAGCCTGTGCCCTTAGTAGGACGTTTATTTAAGGGGGCCATAAGAAAGTTTAAGTAACACTCCCCCTGTATTGTTTCAGTATCATACAACATTGACCGCACTTTCAACACGTCGGTCGCAGCAGACGGATCCCTCTACAACCTAGGCCTGTCGTCGTTCCTCAACAACGACAACGCGTTAGCCCTGTTCAACGAGTCAAACGATACCGGGATTAATAGTGGTGAGTTTATTCAATTATTTTTAAATATTAACACTCATATTGATCGTTACATTCACGAAGCGCCCCACCATTCTTCCGCTAATGTTTGAGTGTTATCAGTACACGCTAAATTAAAATAGTAAGACACGGGTCTTAACGCGACGTTTATTAATGAGTTACATTATGTACTCACGTCTTGACGTTTCGGCTGCAGTCTGCTTGTGATCACGGCTGCAGCGTCGCAGCCGAAACGTCAAGCCGTGAGTACATAATGTAACTCATTAATAAACGTCGCGTTAAGAAGACCCGTGACTTACTATTTTAATGAGGGTTTTCGCGAATGAAAGATCCGCTAGATGGCGGGACGTGGATGTGGGGTCTGACTGCTACGTGATTGGTGGATTTTGACATCTGTCAATGTCATGTCAAAAATAACCAATCATGCAGCATTTGGACCTCGCGTCTACGTATTGCCATCTGGCGGATTTTTCATTCGCGAAAACCCTCATTGAAATGGAACGCGAAAGTTTAAAATCTTACACGCTAAATTGTCCATGAGTGCACACGCACACTACAATAATGACGCTCGGATTGCTCGGATCAAACTCCCCGCACCCCGCGCGACCGAGACCAAAAATTGGTGGGACGCGTCCGAGTGGATGAAATGATCAGAGGTGGAATTGTGTAAAGCAATCGTAATCATTTGACAGTTCATAACGTACGATAAAGTTAGTTAAACAAAGCGTTTGACAGAATAATCGTACGTTATGAACTGTCAAATGATTACGATTGCTTTACACAATTCCACCTCTGGTCTAAGAGCTTAACGGTCGAATACTGAAACGCCATTTAAATATTTGACGGCTTCTCAAATAGTTAAGTAGCTCCTAAACTTACATTTCGCATACTCAAAACAATATCTGAGCAGTTCTCAATTTTTAAGCACCTCTCAAATTAAGTTGCACTCAAACGCCACTCAAATGAATTTTCGCATACTGAAACGCCATTCAACGCTAAGCATTACTCAAACAACTGTCAAATCGTCTTAAGCAGCTGTTAAATTTGAGAGTGCTTGCGCGGTATCTTAAATCCTATTCTTATACCTAAATCGACCTAAATAGTGGTAAATAATGTGTGTCATCGTTATCATTTCTTTCGAGCCTCGAGGAAATACCTAGATTCTAATCGCAGGAACGCAATAAGGCTGAACGATATTGAAAAATATTATTATAATGACATGCAATTCCGAGCGAGGTTCTGCGTCCCTAAAGAAACGGTGTTGTTTCTGGATTCATAATTTGGAAGCTCTTTGAAACCCCTCACCAAATGCCATACAACCAGTGGACCAAATATCTACTTATTATAACCCTACTATTCTACGCAACGGGAAGTTATGAACGTGTACTAGGGGATATCTTCCAAATCTAACAGCCAACTGTGCATCGTATAGTGCACGAAGTAACAACCAAAATAGCTGCTATGAAATCGCTTTACATAAACATGCCTATTTCTGAGGATTAAGGGGACATCGCACAGCAGCATTTCCAAGAGTTGTTGATTTGTCAATTTGATGCTCTGTCAGTCAACAATGATAAATGTCAATTGTGGTTACGTTTCGGTCCACGATCGCCACTTAATAGATTTCAACAATAAAAAGTATCACCTTTAAAAATATTTTTTTAATGAAATAAAAATGCAAGCATTTATTTTTTTATATGATAAAGCGAGATTTATATACAGGGTGTTTGGCGCATCGTGTGCCAAAATTATTTGGCGGATAGAATGGGTCATTTCCTATATTTTCAGCCCCCATAACACTACTTTTATATGAATTTTTTTTAGTAATTTCACCAAAATACCCAAATCGCATCATTGAATTTCGATTTAAAAAAAAACTACTAGGCGATTTGGGTATTTTGGTAAAATTACTAAAAATTAATATAAAAGTAGCCGCCTGGCATGGAACGTGTTATGGGGGTTGAAAATATAGGAAATGACCCATTCTATCCGCCAAATCATTTTGGCACACGATGCGCCAAACACCCTGTATAATAGAAACTAAAAATAAACTGTTCTATGTTAAGTTGATTGAGTATATTTCCATAAAAGACAATACATAACCAAACGATGCTGCGTGTAATGGATAAAAGACGTAAAGTTATCATTTGTGTAAATGAAAACATACTTTTTTTGGTAAATGTTGCCATTATGTAAACATTTGAGAGCTGCTTAGCTGATCACGGCTTCAAATCCGTTGAGTAGCGTTTGAGAATACCATTTAAAATTGAAGGATACTTAAATTTAGGAGCCCGTCAGCTGAGTGACAGATTTGAGTAGTGTTTGAGTATTCGGCCGTAATTCAGTCAGTGCCTGAGGTATGTCACGGGCGGGGTGACATTTAACATAGTGATGTGACAAAGCAATATAACTCTGAAGGAGATCTGAAGTCACGCTGACGTTTGACGTTTCAAAAACACCATCTTGTGCCGCTCTCTTACCGCAGGCACTGACTGAGTAAAACGCTAGCATAATTTAAAGAGTGTAAAAACAAAACTAGTAATTCAAGCTAAAGCAATTTAACAATTAGTCCTTATCGTCACCAATAGATGGCGCTGTATAGTTTTGCATCGCGGTAGTGTTTTATTTTTGGTGGTTAAAAAGTTGATACCTCTTGTTTTCGTGTAGCGGTTTCGTAATGCAATAAATTTTAATTGTTTCTGTTTGTTACAGCAAACAAAATAGAAGTGATAAACAACAGACCCTCAGAGAAACAAGACTTCAATATAAACGACTTCCTAAAAACGTTATTACCGAATGAGACGAATACCGTCGCATCGGATAACAACTCAGGTGTGTTTTCATAGTCTCCTTATCCCTGATTAAGAATATTTTCAAAAAAGTTTGAGGATCCATATGAAAACTTCGTAAATTGATTAGGCATTGATACTACATTACGTAATGAGGGTTTTCGCGAATGAAAAATCCGCCAGATGGCAATACGTAGACGCGAGGTCCAAATGCTGCATGATTGGTTATTTTTGACATGACATTGACAGATATGTCAAAATCCACCAATCACGCAGCAGTCAGACCCCACATCTACGTCCCGCCATCTAGCGGATATTTCATTCGCGAAAACTCTCATTGATACGTCATCATGTCACATTAATTGATTAGGCGGTACGGAGTTCGGTGGGCTAGTTAGTTAATAACGTGCTTGAAAGTTAAACGAGTGAACTTGTTAAATCACATGCCCAAGTATTATTATAGTCTTAAGAATTTTTAATGGCCAGTTTCACCAATTTGCTGATAAAGTGCATCGACAGTATATCAGACATACTTTTTGTTACAAAATAGGAACTGTATAAGGTGCCCTAGTATTTTACCTTCACGTGCTGTCGTCTATACCTTACAAACCTATCCATTAGACTAGTGTTGCCGAAAAATCGATTAAGTTTAGAAAATAAAAAAGTTATAAAATATTAATTTTGTTTCTTTCTAATTTCCACATTAAAACTTTCCTTCATAATAATTTAACGTGTCTCCTAGTGGTTTCAGTAGCAAGCGGCACCATGTCTCAGAAGTCTCAAGACACATTACCGGGACTGGACCTCCTTACGCCTGATTCTACTGGGAATCCCCCGCCACCTACGTCATTCTATGGGACCATGGACCATATTGTCATCGGTAAGTAATGTATCTTTCGTGCGATTTTTTAGTAGTTTTAGCCTTTAGGTTTCTTCGGAATTCTAATTCTTAAAAAAAAGAAAGAATGTTTTCTTTGAGTATATTGTTCAAATTGTTATATCTACAAGATAAGAGTACTTTCCCTGCAGGTGGCATTACAAAAATCTACCCTGTCTATTGTGATGCCCAAACAGTTTGAAAAAATTCGTTACAACATTTTTTGACAATACTATGATATTTCTATCTTTTTAGACGATGCGGATCAGCCCTACCAACCCGAAACAAGTAGTCCGTGGAATAGTAGTTCGTGGATGCCGGTGAGTGTAATTTCAAAGGTTAATTTTAATACTATATTTTGTACACATTACTGTATACAGGGTGTTAGGTAAATGGGTATATGAGCTGACACTAGCCCATGTTCATATAACTGGTATGGTGAAGTCAGAAATTTGATATCATCATTTTAATTTTTTAAATTTTCATACAAAATAAATTTTATAAAATCCGATTTGTATGAAAATTTAAATAATTAAAATGAAGATATCAATTTTCTGACTTCACCATACCATTTATATGCATATGTTAACATGGGCTAGTGTCGGCTCATATACCCATTTACCTAACACCCTGTATATATAAAAGAAAATCGCGTTAGTTACTCCACATATAACTCAAGAACGGCTGAACCGATTTAGCTGAAAATTGTCAGGGAGGTAGTTTAGAGCCAGGAGAAGGACATAGGATACTTTTTATCACGTTCGAAATAAAATAAAGTCTGCTTATTTATTGCCATTAAGGCGGAACAAAGTTCGCCGGGTCAGCTAGTTATTAATAATTGACTTGTATTTGAATTGTATCATTTATTGTGTCATAGATTTTTACTAACTATCAATTGTATCTTACCATTATTGTATGCCCATGCGGCGGAACACAGCTGATCTATCATACAAATTTAATGACCTGACTTATTTATGACTACCTGTGATTTCACAATAAACACAATTTGAATTTGAATTTAATCTCATAATACATTTGTTACATAATAGGGTATTTGACACCACCAATCAATTGACGTACTTTTTAAAACTGTCAAAACGACACTCTCCCATAGATTTTGTCCGGCGATACTAGCATGTGACGTCACAATTTTATCAACTCAATGAAACTACTTTTTACAATTATAATGCAACCAAAAATTGTAATTTACAGGTAATTAAAAATTAATTAAGTTTTTAAGACCAGAAAGAAGTGTCTTTTTTAAAAAAGTTGTGGTTTAGAATTATTGGCGAATGGTGTCAAATACCCAATTTAATTTACTGTCTGCAGACGGCGGTCCCGCCGGCAGGCCGCTCGCCGGGCGCGTTATTCGCCGACACGCCGGAATCGCCGCCGCCCGCGCCGCCGCCGCGACCGCCGATCACCTACCCGCCTCTACACCCGGTAAATAGAAAGAAAGAAAGAAAGAAAGAAAGAAAGAAACATTTATTGCCTGGACATCACAAAAGACAAATGAGGTAAAATGAAAAAAAAAAGCAAATAAGACAGAGGTGACATAAAACATACAATGAATGAGCAAGTAAACTAAGCAGTGCCACCCTGTCGCACAGCGATGCCCATCGCAATGGGACCCCACTCAGCATATGCCGTGGCCCCCGGTGAGGGAAGCCACGACGCTGGTTTTCAGTGTGCCCCATGCCGAGTGTGAGTCACGGACACTAACCTATACTGCATAAAATATACATACATAAATAATAATAATAGTGCGCGTATAAATTTTAAGTGTAAATACAGACGTAGTAGAAATACAGACGTATAAAAAAATAACCGCCTTTTTACCGTAAACGACTGTTTCATTTTGTTCTTTTTTTTTCTTTTTTTATCCACAACGAGGAAGCTCTTTGCCTGTATCTCACCTGATGGTAAGTGATGATCAGGCCGAAGGTGGAAGCGAGCTTCACCCGGAATCCTCAACCACGGAGGAACTGGCTATCTTACCTCTTACTGCCGGAACACAACAATGCTGTTAACATTTTTGTTATAGCGACAGACTTAGGTAAGATGGTGGTAGCTAGCCAGGCGGACTTAGAACAAGCCCTACCACCAACCAAACCGAACAGAAAAATCTGTTTGTTCTGTTTTGAATTCAGTTATAAGAGAGTGGAAGTTGGATTTTTTGGTTATAGGTCGCCCAGCAAAAGTTGAGGCGAATAAACTCACACCTGCCGGGCTAGGATGCGCGCTGTGATATACTCTTATCGTCGTCAAAATGTATGGGCAAAACCGATAAAATGGCGCGATAACCGCTTATCGCGGCGTACATGCTAGGCCTACTGGAGTAATATCTTTGCTTGTGTTGATTGCCTCAACTCTTGCTGCTCGACCTATAGCGGGACACGCACTTTGTGGCAGGGCAGGGATGTTATGGATATCCGTAACCGTAACCGAAACTTTCGGATATCCTAAATAAAAACCTTTATAATGCCATCTAGTATAATTTTTTTGTTACTTTTTATTTGATGTAAAGTGTACGGCCATGAATGAACCATGTTGAACAACTACTGCTTGCATTCTAAAGTACAGATATCCGTGTCCGTAACCGGAACTTTCGGATATCCAAAATAAAAAAATATCCATAGCCGTAACCGAAACCGAAACTACATATCCATAACATCCCATACTTTAGCACAAAGTAAGAATATAAAATTACAAAATCGCTTCTCGCTCGGGGCGAATTATTTTTTATGCAGCTCAAAGCAGTTGACTGTAATCACACCTGATGCATTCTAGGATGGTACATACGAGTAACTAGACCTAAATAAGGTCCCTAGATAAAGTCTCCTTTGATATTTTTCTGTTGATAACAAATAATATACCTCTACTATCGTCACGAAGCCACCATGTTTATAATGTTTAATGCCTCATTTTGAAACACCCTGTATAAATAAATATTGTTTCAGAAAGGGCCTCCGCCCGCTGACGTGGACCACAGAGGGATATTACCTCCCCCGCCTCCGCCTCCAGTGTTGCCAATACTTGGTCGTGAGTATAGTTTTATTTCTATGTAGTTGACAGCTTTGGCATACACATTTTATTGCAAAGTAAACCTTATTACAACTGTTCAAGGTATACAATGTTGTTAGTACATTAGGCATGTAACATACTTATTATGAACTGTCAAATGTTGAGCTAATGTATTGTCGGTCACAAACAGGTCAAGTTGTGTGTCAAGATTTTGTACAAATGTATTTGTGCAAATAATTTTGTATTAGTAATCATCGATTTCCATACAGGTATCGCAAAAAATTTGAAGTTTTTGCAAAGATTCTGCATATTATTATAATGGACGACAGTTTCGTTGATGAGTACAATGAGAATATCACAATGAGAGTTCTTGAACATCTTTTCACTTAGTTCAAACATTTGTGCAAATATTTGTAAATAACCTAAATCACAGTTCTCTGCATCTTGATGGGAGCCTGTGATCGACATATTATAAGTAGTTATAAGTATATTTTTACTGTAGAATATCCATTTCTCCAAGTCCATCAATGTCATTTCAAAATGTCAACTAACAGATAGATATAAATGTCAATTTGTCAGACATGGAAGACGTAGATCATCGAATGCTGCCGACGCTGCCGCTGCCGGTGCCAGCGCCTGTGGCGCCACCTCACCACGCGCCCGTGCAAAAAGGTAACTAATAAATAAATATCCTTGGACATTTTACACTGCGCCGCTAGCCATATACATATATATTATACATAGACCCGTCACAGAAATTAAAATTCATCATTTCAATTCTCTGCATAGTAGCAGGCCTGTTCATCTCCGCGAGTTTACATCGAAAACAAAACACGCACAATGGCCCACCTACAGGATACTATTCGACAAGGCCTCACATACGAGCGAACATTGACTCACGCACGCGTATTCTTGTGTATGATGGAAGAAAATAAAGAAAATGGTGTACTAAATACTGTGCAGTATTTAACTGCCTAAATAATAATAAAAACACAGAATGTACTTTTTTAAGTTGCCTCAAGACACTGAGAGGTAAATGAGTAGTTAATATTATTCATGACAATTCATGCTAAATCATGTATTTCCTCCGCCATTTTCCGCAGTTTGGCACCTCACGTCACATCATTTTACCGAAGTCAGCCCTATAGCTTCGGCGCAGTGCTGATCACTGACGTTTGTCAACAAAATGGTGCTTGACTCTTGAGACAAGCTAAATTACACCATATTGTTAATGACATTGAGCATACATTTTTTTAAATACCTTCGCGAAGTAAAACTTCTGTACGTAGTACTTATTATTATTCTGTGATAGTAGTCCGTTCTGAAACACTACACCAAACGGCCGACAAACTATACTATAACTAACGCTTAAAGCTTCCACCACACCAAGCAACGCGTGCAAATCGCCATCGCCGGCGCGATCATAGGCCAATGACAGGTCACGCGGAGTGTCATGGGTCGCGTGACCTGTCATTGGATTGGTTGAAGCTTTACTCACTCAGTGTCTGAGGAGTAAAGCGGCACGAGAGGGTGTTTTTGTAAAGGTGGGTACTGACCAACGTTACGAGGTGTAATGTAACATGATACACAGCGAGCATTCGTGCAGTCAGTACGTCGTATTACGGGGAAACCAACGTACTGACTGCACGAATGCTCGCTGTGTATCATGTTACATTACACCTCGTAACGTTGGTCAGTACCCACCTTAACGTTATACGTCAGAGACACCTCAGATCTCATTCAGATTTATATGCTGTGTCACGTCATAATATGTCAAAATAAACTCTCCCGTGCCACTCCTATACCTCGGGCACAGATTGAGTTAAGCGCTAGACCTGTAATTTACTATGAACTAATAGGCTAGTTGCCTAAAAAATTTTTTTAGTCCGTAATGTTTAATATCAAAAAATATTGGACACGTATATTTTTATTTGTCAATCTAACAAATAATTACATAGTTATGGTGCGTTGAAGTTGCGCACGACGTCACAACGTGAGGCATTTTTAAGCAAGCGTTGACGTCACGGGCCTCTTCTTATGAACTTTGGGGCGCTTTATCTCTTTAAATTTTCATTAGTTTGAAAAAGTGAAAAATACGTGTAGAGTATTTTTTGATAAGTTAACTGACGGACTAATTAAAACTTGCTTTTTGACCCAGGCAACATCCCCATTGCTCAAATGGCGTTGCTAAGCCAGCCGAGTGACAACTGTGTGTCACTTTTTCTTACTTACGCGAATGGACTATTTTAATAATTGTTTTTCAATTCAAATCTAATTCTTTAATCCCCCAATATTTTCAACAGCTTTGCTCAGTTTGCGACTGCGATAATTTATTTATTTATTGGCAAGGTCTAGGCTTGATCATATATTTTGCGAGTTTTGTTTGAATAATTTATTTATAATATTGTTTTAAACTTTCATTGTAACTAATGACCATGAAAGTATGCCCGATCTGTCTGACCATAACATCTCACCCGCAAGTTCCTCAGTTACTCCGTGTCTATGGCGTGGTAGCAATCCCGTCAGTAATAATTAATTTATTCATGTTATGATTTCAGATGTGGACCATAGGAATCTAATATCTCTAACGCACCAACCCGCAATAAGGCCTCCCAATCCCGTCCCGAGACCGGTCAATCCAGTCATAAATTTGGATCAGGTAAGATTTTAATATGCTTAAAGAAAACCCACACTAAAAAAACAACCCAAGGTGGGTTAAATTCAGGATTTTTCTAATGCAAAATTTGACCGCAATCGCACTTGATGTTAAATGAAATGCAGTCCAGGATGGTACATACCTTCCCTGTAAGTGTCTTTCACTCTCGCTTTGGCAAATAATTTGTGGGAAGAGAATTCTTTTAATTATTGCATTACTAGTAATTTGTCACACATTTTTAGGTGTGGGTGCACTACAATAATTAATTTGTTTGTGCTGAATCTTATTATTTCAGGCTTTTCAGGTATATGTTCCGCTTTGTAAAAGAGAAAATCGATGTTATACTCGTACTGCGATCTTCTTATTTAATTAGTTTTTAGACAGCTATACCCTTAGCCCTAAACTTAACTAGGGGAAATTCGGGTATATTGGACCAGGTGCTAAATTGGACTATGTATCTTTAATATTTCGTAAAATATTCTTTAAATTGCTGCAACGGCGACACTCAGTGATACATAATTAATTATTTTACAAATTACATTGATTTATTATCAGTCATATTATAGTTTTTGCCGGCAATTTGGTTGCGGCCCAATGTTGGTTTACCTTTTAACTTGGGACAAACTTGGCCTTCACTGGTTGGGTTTTTATTGGCGGTCAAACTTTCCTGGTTACACAGGAGTTGCAGCGGTGGGAACGAGAATGGGTCTAGTTCAATATATCTGTAGGGGAGACCGAGAAGAGTGGTAACATTGTCGATTTATTTAAATATTTAATGAATTTTATGGAACTTATTAACTACTAGCGAGCTCGTAACAGTGTGTGTATTTTAGTTCAAGTCTCGAGCTAACAAATGGGCACTGCTGCGAGCTGATTGTTAATAATAATAATAAAATAAATGTTTATTTTCTTTTCACAAAGGTTAATAGGTTTCCAAAAATCGGTAATGTCACAACTCTCCTCTGTTACAGCTCACCTCGGTCTCCTCTAGTTAAACACGAAGTTTTTATTGTGTGTGTTCACAAGAACATCACTACGCCGCGTGCCCCGCCGCCCGCGCCCGCGGGGCCCCCGCGCGCGCCGGTCACATCTCTTTTGTTTTTACATCGTTCACATCAGAGCAACTACGCAATTTTAATGTATTTCCTTGTAACAAGATATTCTTGGTAGTAAACCGTTTGAAACACGAAACAGCGTCTCCTTCATCCATAAGAATCCCGAACAGTGTGGTTTGTAACATCTTTAGTGTGGGGATTTTAGGCCTTTTCCTTTAGGTACATTTGACAAGGTAGTACTCCTGTAATGGAGACTAACGCTTGTATTCACAAACATTACTATGAGATCTCACAGTGCGCGTGGACGCACAGGGTGACACGAACCAATTACAGAACTCTATTCAACGCTGTGCGTTCGATTTGCTGCTTCACTTAAGCAAGCATCGTTTGTGAATACCGGCGTAAAATACCTGATGATGATATGTGTATGTGTGTGTGATACTGAGTTTGTTGCGGCGCTTCTTCTCAGCACTTGCCAAATGTTTGTCTCGAAGCGCTGGTAGGGCAAAAAAAGAATGAGACATGTAAATGCTCCTTAAGAGCATTTGACGATATGCAAGTACTAATTTAATTAGTCTAAACCAGTGGTTCTTAACCTTTAAGTCACGAGGGACCGTTTTACCAAATTTCTGTTTTGTCAGGGACCACTTATTTTTTTTTTCAAAATCCTATGAAAGGGGAGGTCGATTTCTCGCCCACTGTGCGCCGTTTGCATTGTGTTGACTCGACTCATCACGTCACGTCACTTGTTTATAACGATGTCTTCGTGGACCACTTGGAATGCCTCCAGGGACCACCAGTGGTCCGCGGACCACCGGTTAAGAACCACTGGTCTAAACAAATAAAGATAATTTTGATTTTGTGCTAAGCTAGCGAATGTTCAGGATTACAGAGTGCCGCCGATGCTGCCTCCGACCGACATTGTGGAGAGCGTCGATATGGACCTCTCGGAGGACGAGGACCAACGTATGTTATTTTATATTTATAAAAAAAACATATTTATGTAATAATTTCACTTTGGTGGTTACTTTTTTATTTGTGGAAATGCCATGTTTCATAAAATAACACTGGTCAACAAAATTTTAAATTTGTCGTGCCACACGGACTTTTTTGATATTTTTTAGTTTAATTGGTGATTGTAAGAAAATACCAACTGTTAAAAAAAATTTGCTAGACAAGGATTTTATTCTATTGATGAGTAATTTGAAATATTAGGAAAAAACGCAGATCTCGTAAATCAAAAGTTATTTTTTTTTATAAACGACTTAATAATCTTAGATTTTCTTGAATATTTAGCTTCTGGTTGGTCTCTTTTAATTATCCAGCAGTAATCTGCTAACATGTTTGGGCTCCATTTGCCCTGGTACCGATTTTCCATATTAGAAATGTCCTGATGGAACCTCTCACTGTGCTCGTCGCTGACAGCCCCTAAATTGTCAGAAAAAATCCAGGTGCGAGTCTAAAAAATAGATCTTAAGTGACATGTTGCAACCCAATGCTTGATATGACAATAATAGCTCTCTAACCCACTCTCTGTAGCTGCCACTCTTGTGTTTTCCCAAAAAATTTGCAACAACATTTTTAAAATCCTTCCATGCAGATTTTTCTAAATCGCTTAATTTTTATTGAAATCTTGAATCTTTTATTAACTCCCTAATATGAGGGGCAGCAAAAATACCCTCTTTTATCTTTGCATCACTTATTTTAGGGACAAGACATTGACCTGAAGTGGACGGTTGTGTATTGTCGTTCTCAACAGACGTAGTTGCAACTGGTATTAGTTCTGGCAATTTTTTTACAATGAGAGGCTGGTCTTATATCTGAAGATAAGTTATGGTAAATAACTGTGTTTTTAATCTTGTAATTTATACCTTTTATGTCAGTGAGACAAAAATAGCAATCAGAAACGTGATCTCGCTGTTTAGTCCATATCATGGGTACAGCAAACGGCATAGGTCGTGCACCTTCGTTCCAGATATGAGGGTCGTTATGCAACAGACCTAAGGGGCCCAGGATTTGTCTTGATGGGCGGCAGAAAAACCAAAACAAGGGTGATAACACTCCAACACAAGATTCGTAAAATTTCTTCGTTGTTTTTTTAATGTAAGTTCTCCGCAGACATAGCAAAAAGAGTAAGGATCATTATTACACTTCCTCGACATGTTCACAGGGTTAATAAATCCAAAACAATGTTCAAATTCAACAACAAATAATTTTATAACAATTTACTTGTAAGCATTTCTGTTAATTTACTGCCCTAGTACTAGTTATGAGTATTACCATATCACAACAAACATGAGGCTAATTGACATAAGACAACTGTGTTTTAATAATGAGGGTGGATTGGTAAAACAAAATTAGCTATCAAAGTTCGTGTGGCAAAACCAGTGTTGACCAGTGTAATTATTAATTTAGTTTTCCATATTCAATATTGAAGTAACAATTCCGTCACTATCAGATTTTGTCGTCGTCTTCATTCTTATTCTTAGGCCCAGAACACACGGTGAAACGCAACTGCAACGAAACTGCAACTTCTAGTTACTTTTGAGTTGCATCTAAGTTTCGGCCATAGATTCCGTTGAGAGACCACACATGACGCGACCAGTTTGACCAGTTCAAATCGGTTTCAAACTGGTCGCGTCATGTGTGGTCTCTCAACGGACGCTATGACAGAAACTTAGATGCAACTCAAAAGTAACTAGAAGTTGCAGTTGCGTTTCACTGTGTGTTCTGGGTCTTAGGGTTATTTTTGTTGTCTTTCTGTCAATTTGATGACAAAACTAATTTCAATTACAGAAAGTGGCTACCAACAAAAGCCGGAATTGGCTAGACGACACAGTTTCAACAACAACAAAGTGCTAGTGGGGGGCGACAACGGCAAAACGAACCACAAGGAGCACAACAACCTCATACAAATCAACAGCACGGACTACGACAGAAAACCGCACTCCGCGCCCGTTCGTCCATTATCCAACCCGTTCGAAAACATGTCGACTATCGAAAACTTCAACATGCCGTTCCAGAATAACCCCCCGAGAGAACCGGACAGAGAGGAAAACTCGAACGACAGCGCGTACGAGGAAGACTTGCGGAGTCGAGGTATGGAGAAAGACGTGCGGAATCCGTCCCCTCCGGTGTTTGAAGAGGGCGATTGGCAGAATTCTAGCCCCCGGCCGTTCCTAAACCAACGGTTCCCGCGGAATTGGGGGCCCCGGACTAACTTCCGGCCCGCGGGCCCCGGCTTCGGGCCGCAATTCTGGCGCGCGGGGCCCCGGCCGCCGCGGTGGGGCCCACCGCGCCCCCAGCGGTTTTGGTGATACGTGATTAGTGATATTGTACCTTATTACGTTTGGCTGTTTTGACTGTAGCTGACGTTTTGTGGAAACAACATGTTGACAGTGAATTCGTTTGATACTCATTTGAAAAGTAGCACCTCGTGATAAGTAAAAGGTGTATTTAGATACACAGCAAAAGCCAAGAGGCCCGTGTCTCATAAACTAAAGTCCGGTCGCCGAGCACGTAGAATTTCGTCCAATGACCCCAAGCTACCCATCCTTATCGCTCGTGCGTAATTATATTGCTGTCGTGCTCGCACACTCACTGCGACATGAGCGATAAGGATGGGTAGCTTGGGGTCATTGGACGAAATTCTACGTGCTCGGTGACCAGACTTTATTAGCAGAACGATATACGCCACGTAGCAATGTAAATGTACTTTTATTGGTTCGTTTCGACTTTGCAGTATTACACAGAGTTTTCATACGGCAACAAATACATGATTTGCTTGAAATAGAGCTACTCTATAACACCGTTTTGGTGTTTTCGAGTCTATCTTTGTCGCTCTTCCTCGCTACTAGTGAAAGAGAAGAAAGATTCGAAAATACTAAAATGGTTTATTTTAGGGAGACCCTTTTTGTGTTTTCGAGTCTTTGTGTCTTTGTTGCTCTTGCTAGCAACTATTGAAAGGAATACATCAGAAAATGCTAAAACGGTTAATATAAAATATGACATTGAGCATTTTTATAAACAACAGTCATTTGTTAACGTTTATCTCGAGCGCTCGTCAATTGTTGCCAGATGAATCGCCTTAATGAAAGAACCTTTTGCTCAATCTGAGATCGGAAAGTCGACGATTTTTCATTAGTGGACTGGAAATTTAATTTAATATTGACGTAATATCTCACGTGCGGCTATAGTAGAAAAACTATTGGTGACTATGAGGTAAAATAACTCTACGATATACAAAGTGAATTAGCATTTTAAATACAAGTTTACATATCGGTATACTTGTTGGCAACCGGCGACAATAGACGATGTATGTGGCTTGTGACATCCTGTATACGTGCTGAGTGTGACGTGCTAATTTTGGGACACCCTGTATAAGTTAGAGGGCACTGAAACGTTATTTTAAAATAGAACTATCAGACACTTTACTAAGTGACTTAACAGACAATTTTGAAAAATAACGGATACATGCGGCTGAACCATTTAAGAACCTAGTAAGGGACACTTTTGCAGATTTTCGTTTTTTGTCATAAATCACCTTAGAATTAAGGTCTCCACAGGATGTGAAGACAGAAATCGCTCTATTACACTTAACACCGGAGAAACGCGTTGCTAAAAACCTAGTAAGTCCAATTCAAATCTGCAAAAACCATTATCAAAACCTAGCAAGTTACAATGACCATTTAAAACCTAGTAAGTGCATGGACTTACTAGGTTTCAAAATGGTCAATGTGACTTACTAGAGGTAAAATGCTACTGTAATTTAAATATTATTTCGAGTTCTGTTGGCTGACACTCGGTAACCATATCAAAATCTGGGGACTACATGAGTACTGATTCATATTCGATTTTGATTTTGATGAGGCACTTTTGTCAAAAAAATAATTTTAGTGTTAGTAAAGAGCATAAAACTTGCAATTTTTAACTAAATATATTCTTTTATTCCATAAAGTATACTTTAGTAACTAATCTTTAATATAAATATCGGAAGTTATCCAAATCTTTAAGCATCTTAGCAGGGCAAATGAAAATGCGTTTTTTCGCTCTCCTGTAAAATTTGCTCCGCTGCACTTACTAGGTTCTTAAATGGTTCAGCCGCATGTTTTAAATAAGTTTACGCTTGTCTTAGCTTAATCGGGTGAACATAGCTAGTTCAAAATTAAATATCAAAATATTGTTTTGAACTCAAATTCCACGGAAAGTTACTTTATTGTACATAATTATTAAAACTGATAAACTATTGTAAATAAAAGAAGTCATATGTTGTCAAAAGATCTGTAAAATATCAACAGAATTATGAAGTAAAGTCGTTGATGCAGAAATCCATAGCATGTTTTCTTTTATCAAAACGAAGTTCTACAGTCAAAAGTTGAGGTAGAAATACATTTTCACGAAGTGAAATAATAAATTGGTAGATATTTCTTCTGGATTCTAATAGAAGGTAATGTAAGTAAGATTTCCAGCTGTATTTTAAGTCCTATAAGTAATTCAAATAACTAACTTTAACTGTTTTCTTCATTTGGTCTTTTAGATAATTTAATTTTGAGTAATATTATTCATTGACTAAATGTATTTCTACCTCTTATCTTTCAAATGAAATTCAAAACAATTTTTTAACATTTTTGGCCACAGTAATTTCAGTGGTTTTAAAAGTTGTTGAGAATTTTTGAAAGATAGAGTTAATAATAGAGTCTGATGTTGTTGTTTTAATATGAGTGTATGTAAAAAGGTTTATTCGAAATATTTCAAGCTGCAAGTTTTTGTAGTTTGTATTTTATTGTACGATACAAACATACGTTAATGTTTACTTATATTTTCCTTCTAGTCTGTAATCATTTTTGAAGCAACTTGATTGTTTTATTAGTATTTAGCATTTAGAGGACAATGGCAATATATTGATACTTTGAACTTTATTGGCTTTGTTTTAAGGTCGAAAAGCCTTGCTCTTTAAATGCTTTATAAGACAATATTGAATGACTGCAATGTCGCAGAAGTATCTAATTTTTAGAATGTAATAATATTGCAGCTTTGTAATAAGTTACTTTTAAAATGTAATTAAAACGATCAAGTTGTATTGTGTAAGTATGAAGTAGAAACTCGCTTATGTCTCGTATTATAAAGGTTGACAGTAAAATAGGTCTTTTGCTTATAATAATAAAGCTTAATAGTAATATTGTATGTTATTTTGTCATCAGTCGCGTTAGATAGACATACATAATATGAGTTTCAGAATACGATTAAAATTTAATATAATATATGTCATATAATCATTTGGCTAGTCTTAGTACCCTTTTACTATCATATTCATTGGCTAATAGGAAAACCATTAAAATTCAAAATTTATCAAAAATGATCATTTCGGCTATTTAAACCTTAGTCTCTGCTAACAGATTAGAACCCTCTACTAATTAGAAACAGAATACCTACACATGTATTCTGTTTTTAGGAAATAATGAAAATGTCAATACATTACCAAAATTTCAGTTCCACTAAAATCCATGTTACAAGACAGGTGGAGGATAGTTTTTCTGTAAATCATTCAATAACACACATAAAATATACAAAAGTTTCATGAATTCCATTGGAAATCTATCGGAAAAAGAAAGAATGGAAGACGAATGAAATTCGAAATTCGTACAATGAACCCAAGCTACCCATCCTTTTCACTCGCGTCATATTGCTGTCACGCTCGCACACTCACTGCAGCCTCCCGTCGCACAGTCGCGACAGCAATATAATTATGCGCGAGCGATAAGGATGGGTAGCTAGAGGTCATTGTACAAAATTCTATCTGCTCAGCGACCGGACTTTAGTAGAATATCAGAATAGAAGGCACTATAAAGTGAATATTTAAAGATAGCATAACTTTATGGACCACTTGCGTAGTTCGCACTCGTTAGATTAAATTAGTTAATTATGAGGCTGACAAAAGTGACCGAGTTTTGTTCCACCATTTCTCTTCAGCACCAGCCTGTATTTTGCCCCAAAGCTTGGTGGCAAGGTTAGCTGTATTTGGGCTTAATACTATTAAAGGATTTACTTAAGACAATAGCAAATCAACAAAAAACAAAAAATAGGCGAGTCCTGCGTTGATAAAAACTCCAATTGATGCCAAAGGTACTCTAGTTAGAGAATCATCTTTATAGAATACATCTGGATTTTATTACTTAAGTCCCAAGCTATTTTAATGCCACGTTAAGGAATAAATTGATTCACAATTCAAGTAAATAACGCGGTGGACCTATTAGTCTGACGTCATTAAAAAGAACAGAAGTCAGGGTATTGCATACGTAATAATGCACGAGTCCGCTTAAGTCATATGACGTCACGATAAAATGCATGGCACATGGTCGCACCTGAAATTGGCTGGAAGCTGTAAAAAACCATTTCCGAAGTCAAACATCTTCACTTCCGGTCAGAATTTAAGGTTTTGTTTTGATTACGACCCACGTGACATCATTTAGCCTTTGAAGATAGTAACAGAATAATAATAAGTACCTACACAGTTCATATTTAAAATGGCCAGAACTATCTACCTAGTCATTAAAAAAGGGCAAGGAGAAATACAGGCTGGAATTTTGTAATGCCATCTGGAGGGAAAGTAGGTACCTACTCTTACTGTAGATAGAAAATTTACTCAAAGAAAACATTCCTTTATTTTTGAATCGAACCATTTAAAATGTGTTAAAAATAGCACAATGTATTTTTATTGCATTGATCGCCAGGGTTAAGTATAAGGATGAAATCTCTAACCAACTTGATAAATCAAAAGAAATGAAAACCATGAAATCTTAAATTATTTCCAGAAAATTGTATGGTATGGCTGTGATTTTTTCGGAAATCTTGAAATACAGTTTCCTTCCCTTTCAAAAATAAAGGAATGTTTTCTTTGAGTTTTCCCCTCTAGGTGGCATTACAAAATTCCACCCTGTATATCCAGTGGATCTTTGGCACCGTCCTCCCTCACTCATTCCATTATTGTTAGACGCAACTTAAACGGATTTGAAAAAGTTGTCTTTCTACGCGATAGATTATTATGAGGCTCATCATCATCCATCAAAGCGAATCAAGAGAAAATATTGTACATAAAATACCTGCATTATGCCCGAGCGAAGCCGGGGCTGGTCGCTAGTATACATACTATTACATGTAATGTAATATTATTCATGCCGAGTTTTAACGAGTTCTTTGAAGGCTAGGCTCAAAGTTGAAAAGCTACGCCCTACTGGTAAATTAAAATAGTTTTTTGAAAGTTTTGTTTGCCCAAAGCCTAACTACTCGATAGTTCCGACCTAGGTTTCTATGGAAATAGGCCGAACTTTGTTTTGGCGGAAAAAGTTCCAAAAGTTACCTAAATTCAAATTGGCGTTTTTTATTCTCGATTGAACGGAAATGAAGGAGAATATCAATGTCATAATAATTATGAACTTATTGCAATAAATTAGGCTTTTTTTCATAGAGCCCAGTAAAACCTTTAACCCTACCAGTGCTTTGGGACATTAATATAGGCCAGTGCTGGGAAGGAGTGTTACATAGACACTAGGTCACTATTAACAGCCT